AGTCGATTAAATCTCTAGATATCCCATCAAGGATGGGGGTCTACCATGGAACGAAATTCCGAAACTTTACATCCAAATTTTGTGAGTATAATGAAACACGTTATACCAAAATCGAGGTCGTTGACAGCACTTGACGGCCATCATCTCTAGCATAAAAAGTCCGGACGACTGAAAATTTTCCTTTTTAACACCATTTCTTATGTAATTTTATAAAAAATTCGTGCTCGGTTCGGTTTCGAAATTACGAACATATTTTTATGGTAGGCCCCTTGAGTGTTGTTTGTATCTACGACGTTACTATTTATTTTTTAACGTGTGTGACGTGTAGTTAAGAACTTTGTTTGCCATTACGAAGAGTATTAGTATATTGTTCATCGCTCCATGTAGTCCCGATATAGAATAGGCCTTCTTCACACTTAAGGGGCGATTAAATGAATTCAATGGTCGAGAGATAGGCAGCAGAGTTCCTTTTAAAACATTGCTAAAACCTAACTGCGATTGCCAACCCGCTTGCCAAGCGTGGCAACTACTGGCAAATCTCCCCTTATGGGGAAGACCTATGTTCAGCATTGGATAGTTAATGGCTGATATAATAATAAAATATTATCCACCGAAGGAAGAATGTAACCGATTAGCGATGAGAAGGAGTTGACCAAGCTGAAGGCACGGCTGTCAATTTTCTAAGTTGAGAATCCTACTTTATTATAATATATGAGGAGATTATAATACGACTCTTATTTTTATTATTGCTTAGTTAATATTATCACTTATTGTTATCGTTATCACATCTAAAAGCTATTTGAGAGTCCTTGAGACGTCGATTTTTAAAAATATATATTCAAATTTATTAGACAGAAGATTACTATTTTAAGTACAATATATAATAATATAATTTAATAATTAATATAATATAAAAAGCAGCATTTTAAGCACCTAGGTATTTAATGGTCGAGGGATGGACAGCAATGTCCCTATATAATCTAAGCGACTATCTTAAAACATCATCAAAACCTAACTGCGATTGCGAATCCGCCTGCCATGTGTGGCAACTACTGGCAAAACCCTATGTTTAGCAGTCGACAGTTAACAGCTGATATGATGATGATGAAGTATCTAGGCATTTAAATTAAATTTTAACACTTAATAAACTCTATAATCATACCGCATAAGGCTTATTGTTAGTCAAATTTTGAATTGATAAATAAATTTGACGTCTATACATCGGATTATTATTTTCGTTTAGGCGTGCAACTATTACATTTGCAGGTTCACAATTTAGACAATTTGAATTTCGAACCCGCGTTACTTAGAATAAAAAACATATGTATACATTCTATGCAACCAGTTTATAGAATTTAAAAATGTTTAATGAATAATAATAATAATGAATTTAAATATATATAATAGAATAATAAATAATAGTAATAATAAATTAAAAAAAAACATTATAAAAATTCGATTTTTTATGATATTGGAATTAGAAATATTGGAAATTGTTGCATAAAACCATAAATGCTAATTTATTTTATACCTTAACGTAGTTGTATAGATTTATTTTTTACATTAGCTAATGGAAGACCAGTGCCAACTCTTAAATAATGTAGTGATTATTTTGCTTTGTATTGCGTTCCTTTTACAAGAACGTAGAAAATAGGAAAATAGCAGATTAATAATCAAATTTACTCGTTTTTTTTTATTAAACTAAGGGAAAATGTAAATTTTCCTACATTTAGGGGAGGAAAGTTGATTCTCTCCATCTAGGTGTGGTATAAAAACATTTTTTAAAGTTTGTGTTGTGTTTTTTTTTCGCACTGAGGTTACTTCATATACCTATGTAAGTGTAAGCACTCATATATTTAGCTACTAGCGCCAATGTAAATGAATTGTAAATATAAATTGCTTATACTTTGTTATCTATTTTACATTGCAAAGAATTGTTATATGTTTAAGCACACCTAACTATGGTAGTTAAATACAAAGTAAAATAAGTACCTATATGACTGATGCCGTTTGTTATATTATTATTTCATTGTTTAAGACATAATCTAAGCATAATAATGTGGATGTTGTGATTATTTTGTTATCTCGTCAAATCAATCATGTCTTTTATTATTATCATATAATTATAATTGATAAATATTGACGCAATTCATTAGTTCTATAATGATTTATCACGATGAGTTCAATAATAAAGATATTTGATCAAATAGGTTAAAATATTACTTATTAAAAAAATTACCGTTTTTAAGCTTTACAATCACAAAGTTTGTATGATCCAACATGCAGTAAATCATTGTGATTAAAGAATGATCAAATCGGTACAAAATTGACGAAATTGTTGTACAAAAATTACATAAAAATTGGGAAATTTTTTTTTTCAAGTTAATGAAAAACATAAAATGGCAATAAAGGTTAGTGTTCTTTCTTTAAAAACTAACCAGTACCTGGAATTGATAGCACAATTCGGAACACCCAGGTTCGGGTTAATTTTCTATTTTAAAAATTTGTTACTTAAATTGGCCCGACAGAGAGTCGAACCCGGGTCTTCATTTACGCAAAGTAACGTGCCTTTTTTTAACAAGGGTAAATCCATTACGGCGAAATCCATTAAATCCACTCGTCCCAGGGGAAACGAGTAGGTACTGCCACTAGTGCGCCATGGCCACGGAGTGCGTTAATTAAATTAATTATTAAGATTAAATGACCGATGGTATATTTTTAGTGGTATTTTTCTTAAGAGTTTTTAAAATTTACGTTAAATATTACGCTGTTTTTACCGATTTTAAACCGATTTTTATATTTTTTTTTTTAAAAAGAAGATATAAATAAAGCTCAATAAAAAGAATATAGATTCATTTTATCATTATTGAAGTCGTTTGGCAACGGTGAACACTTTCGATCAGTTGGTGATTATATTAGTTTGGTTTTCTGGTTCGTTAACTAATCAATATTATTGTTAGTTACGTCATCAAAATCATCAATCATTAGCAATTATCAATCTATAATACATTTTATAATAAATGTATTCATAATAAATATAGTTCTATAGGAGGTTATAAAAAAAAATGAAGTTTATCATTCAAAAGGCTTTATTTTTCAGTAAAGTTTATTGGATTTATTTTCTTAACTCTCAGGTGAGTTATTATATACAATAATTCAATACCTGAGAGTTGAGAAAATAAATATTATTTATTTTGATTTTATTTAGCGGACTAACATGCATAGTTGAATAGACAGACAGGAATTCTTGTTCATAATATGTAAATAAATATATTTTTAGTCTCAATATTCGGAATTTCGTTCTATTTATATTTCACAGATGTGAGTGTGCCTTTCAGTTTTCATATTCGTCAGAAAGAATAACCTTTATTTAGAATGGAATGACTTAAATGGAGATTTGGATCACGTAAATATTTATATTTTTTACCCGACTACTGAAGAAAGGGGGGTTCTTTTTTAGTATGTAAGTACATAAGTACCCCATAAATCTACTATACTTATATCATAAAAGATATGATACACTTAAGGGTGTAACATGTTTATTTGTATCCTAAATAGTTTATTGGATTTGTATGAATGCGGTAGAATTCTATAGCCATTGATTAGTTCCTGATATTCAATATTGTTTATTGACGATGTAAGATATGAAATAAATATGTTCGTATTAATAATTAAATACTTATTTTTCAATTGGATTTCTTCGAGACTATATTCATTTTTAAATTTGCACGGGTGGTAAAAATTATAAAACTAATATTTTTTTTTTAAATCCAGTTATTTGTCGTTTAGTTTCTTGAAACAAAAATGTAATAAACGTAGTATGATGAGCAGATGCACTGTAATCGTTTGATTGTACGAGAAATGCAGACGGATGTAAAAGCAGGAGAGCATTTCATGTTCTAGTCATTGTTTTATGGCTATGAAAAATTCTTTGTACATATGAATACTGTATCTGCAATTTAATAATGGCAAACCTCTACAATATTTTCTTTAAAGAATGTTTGTAGTTAGATTTTTTTATGCAACTTAGAATGGAAAACAAGCTGACGGTCCACTTGATGGGAAGTGGTAACCGTTGCCTAAAGACATGAGCAGTACCATGGATATAATAGAGTGTACTATTCTGCTCATGACATCCCCCCATGCATTGTCATTCCTGAGGACTCAGATGTTATTTAAATTATTAAAAACAAAACTCGTTAAAGTAAGTAATACCTTTCTGTATTAAGAAATCTGTTTGTAGTAAGAAAAGAGTTGTAAAATGATTGATAAAACGATGACCAAAGAAGTCTAATATTGTTCACCTATATGTTCGATAAATAGTTATCGATAGTAATATAGAGTAAATGGACACTCGATTTCTTGAAGTAGCCGATCAGTGTGTGTATACTTCAAATGTTACTTATCCTACGGGATATATTAGCGGTAGGTATGAAGAACAAGTAACCTATGTCTTAATCCAGGATATTATTATACTATTTGTGCGCCCAATTTAGTTCAAATCCATTCAACCGTTTATGGATGATTGAGTAACAAACATCTTAATATCTTGACAAACTTTTTTACATTCATAATATCAGTAAGAATATATTTTTAACCTTTAATCAAGTTATAATGATAGTTATTTTTTTATAAAATAAAAATATTTATTATCTAAAAAATTAAGTAGTATAACAGATACTAAAATTATGTTATAATTTTACTTGTAAATTAACTGATATTAACTTTAATAAAACTGTGTACTAAACCTATGAATGGGCACCGAAATTGCATCTTAAGGGTCTTGCAATCTTTAATATTTTTTTTTTTGTATAAAATGTATTAAAGTTTATAAGTTAAGTAAAAAAATGAGAATCAAAATAATGATAGTACCTGTCTAGTTTTAATTACTACTAGAATATTTTTTATTGAATATTCAAATAAAATTTGTAGACTTTGCTAAATTTAATACAGTAACTGAATTTTTGTTAAAAAAAAACTTGCAAAAATGTCAAACTTACGCGCAATAGATGCCCCGAGAGCGGTAGTGGCGAGCACCGCCAGAGCGTACCACGACACGGCCATTTTACACTGTACCTCTTGCGCCACTGAACCACAAGCAGATTTGGCGTTCTTTCGCTACAATTGACTGTTGTGTATGCGCCGACCGAAATCACAAATTACATGTTACATATACATGACGCGATTTTGTTGCTCCCCATCACAGCTGCTTCAACAAACACATTAATGGACGACGTAAGATCAAAATGACCGTCTAATTGACAATTCGAGTTGTACTAATGGCAGTGCGGGCTTCCGACAGCACCCTCAGTTCCGATCGAGTGTCGCGTGCGTCGCCGTGGTTCTGCACATCGAGTGTGTCCTGGGCAGCAGTCAGCACGTGAAGAGCGCCGGATGTATCCTATCAACTGCCAAACGTTTTTAAAGCAGATTGAACATAGAGGTTGGATTTTGTCGTACTTGAAATTGTATTTATGGCAGGTTTCTTAATACCTAAACCAGTCACAGGATGCAGGTATTTGTAGGTGTGCCAGTTTTATTATTTTATAGTAGTAGACCGAAATAGTAGTCAGAGTAATATAGAAATTTCGGGAATCAATAATTAAAGTTACAAAATTTTATTTATCTTTAGATTTTATTATATAAAGTGTATATAAATCTACTGTGAAAAAGAAATGAAGTTTAGGAATTCTTACTGAAATTAATAAATTTCCTTTTTGCATCTTTTATATTCAAAGTAACGCATTGTTGTGAACACAATATAATACATCCAGTATGAGATGCGCTAAGCTGGTAGATGAAACAAGAGTTATATGTAAAGTCAGAGGTCGCAGGCACTCAATTTCTACACAACAACATATATATATTTTATTATAGACAATTAATAAAGTAAGTATATACTTAACATATTTAGTATTTTCAAATTTAGACCCATAAATATTATATACGGATCACTATTTAACATACCATATTTACAATGTTTTCAAGGGCTACAGATATGATGATATTTCGTCAAAACAATGATTGTAATTCACTGTGGAGTTTTAATCAGAGTCATCACAGGTCAATTCTTTGTTTATATACATGTAAAGTATAAGTTACATATGTAATGTCTGATAGAAGGATGTTTTAAAAATTGAAACCTGAATTTAAAATTGAATTTTGGTTTGTGTTTCGATTCTTTGTACAGTTATTAAATTTTGATTAATTTGAAAATATGTAATGTTTGATGAAAACTTGTATATTAATATTAATTTATGTTATTTATACATTTTATACATTATTTCATAGTTTTGTTATTTTGAAAAATATTTTTTACTGTCCGTGGGAATTCATAAATTTTCAAACCTTCAAATCACGGAGTACTATATGGTTAATAGATAAAAACAAAAAAGTCTATCTTTGTGGTAGACAGGGAAGCTACAGAAATGTCGACAAGTCCAAGTATTGTATAAAATAAGTTCTCGAATGTGGTTTCCGTTTAAATGGAAACTATAAATTAGAGAATTTGTAAAATAAGCTACATATCTGCATTGAAAGCCCGACTGGCTCAACCCGAAAGTTCGATTGAACATCAGTAACATAATCTTAATCATATTATACCTAGGTACTTTACAATATAAAAGAAAAGACGTGAATTCAGATTGATTTTATTTATTATTTTATACATAAAAACGCATTATGTGGCCATAGCACAATATACCGTCCTCCTATTGGAGTTAGTCATCGTTCACACAACGTTGAATGCGGATAAACAAGCATATCTTAAACTAGCAATATGTAACAAGTGAATCAAGTAATTTGCTTCATAAAAAAACAGAACCTTTGTGAAAAAACACCCACGATTAATAAGTTGTTCCATAGATAAATTAGATTGAAAATATTTGAATTCATATTGTACAATCGTAGGTTCATAAGTAATTTATTTTTGTAAACTCGGTGCGATTTTTTCAACAGGCTTAACATTTTGACGACGTGTGAACGACTCTTTATTCTTTTTGATAATCCGCTGCTTCGTCACGTATTCGATAGATAAATACATGAAAGATAAACCGTACTATTATATTCGTACTAAGTAAGTGAATCGGCTTCTTGATGTCATAAATTGTTTATTACTACTACTAGAAGAGAAAGCACAAAAACAACATAATAAATTTCTATTTATAAAAATTATAAAAATAACTGTATTTATTTATAATGAATAATATTTTTAGCATTTTTGTGAAGATTGGGAATAAAGAAATTGACGGCAGAATTATATAAGGTGACTTATATGATAATTATATAAGGAGTAAGGATAAGGCGATCTTTTAAAATGAATTGAGGCTATTTATTATATACATAGGTATTATTCTCCAATTTTCCAGGAAATAACAAAATACTTTATTCAAGAGAAATAAATATTTAATTCATATTAAAAGTTATACACAATAGTTAACCAATTGAATATTTTGCTACGAAAAATTTATGTTTTTTATTACAATTTTTTATTAAACAACTTAAAATTATTTTATGAAATATATTCGCCATACACAATGTAGTTGCTCTACCTGTATATAGTTTGTGGCTTTACTTAATTTGCATTTATTTCGATTTGACCGGATACAACCATTGTTTTTAAAATAATAAATATTATTATGTACCTATGTAACGTGCATAAGAACACAACATGTAATTATAAACTCCACACATTATGGTTAGTTCAATATCGACTTTGGGAATAATTTTAAATACGTCCTGTAAATTCTATAATTGTTTTAATGGGAGTATCTGAGATGTTTTCTCATTGTGATCTAATAAGAGTAAATTGTATTGTTGTTTAAAACGAATGAAGCGATTTCCGAACAAAATATTAAAACTATATAAATTATTGAACTTCCTTTTCAAACTCTAAAAAGTTTTCAATTAGTTCGGCCCGCTTTTTCTCTTGTTCGTCGCTTTTATCCGAGAAGGCGATAGAGGGCGCTCTACTAGGGTTGCGAAGAACAGGTTTCCGGAGTTGGAAGAAATTCAATGATGCCTTCAGCTCCTTCACGATAGCCTCTTTGTGTGTAACCTGCACGAGTAGGTAGTTTTTGTTATAATTTTAATATTATGACATCATAAACGTACTTTCTTGGTAAATAAACATTATGAATATTGAATTTCAATTTTTAATCATTAAAACTAGACATGATAATGAAATAATTGTAAGATAAGTATTATAAGTTGAGTATTACATTCATCACAACGGTCATACTTGATAGATCCATCTGACAGTCTAATCTGGGATCACAGTCATGACCATGATGAAGATAAGGAGATGACAAAAGATGAGGTAGTATACTAAACCGTTGTATCATAAAGATTTGATTATACATATGAATACAATATTGCCATACTCACTTCAGTTGTATGCTAACTACACCTTTATCACTGGATTTGTTTGGCTTGAAGAGATTATCTTTCAGAGATAAGTCTTTGTTCATAATATTTATAACTGCTTTTTGATTATTTTAACAAAAAGTGAATAATAATAAATGTACAAACCTGTTCTCGAACAACTATGTTACGACATTCATTCAAGAATTCGGCGGCTGTTATTAATATGCCAAAAACTAGGCCAACAATCAACACCAAGAAAGCTCCTATAAGGTTCTCCATTTCAAGATCGCCTTCAACATCATTTTTGTCTGTACTTGACTGAAAAAAATATATTCTGTTAATAAATCATTATCTTCCTGCCATTATCTTAATTATTTAGGGTCGACGTAATATGTTTTTACTAATATTACATGTTTTGGTTTTTGGTTTTATGACCGGCCGCCTGCCTAAAGTCAACCCTTCTTGGTAATGTTTTAAAAAGTACTAAGAGAAAAGGATGGAAACGTCGAGAATGAGAAAAGGAAGTTGGTAAAAAAGTTATGAAGGATTTATGGGAAAAAGGTAAAGGGGGTAAATGTAGTTGCGAAGAGGGTACTGGTCAGAAACTGTAGTGCAGAAGGCTCGGGAGGCCGTGGTTGCATACCCTTATTATTTTAGAACCGGACAATTCACTAAAGGAGAACACTGCGAGTACAATTCTTAATTAATAATTTTTTAGTTAATAAATAGAAATATTAATATAATAGTTACCAAAAAATTACAATTAAAATTGGAATGTTAATCGTATTCTCTTTAAAACTGATCATCTATTATCTATTTTTCAACAACTACCTAAACATTATTACTTTTATAATTGTATAATAGTTATTTTTCATATTTTTTAGTGATCACTGAAAGCAAAATAAATATGTCTACAAACCGGACATTCGATAGCTCCATATTTTCGAGTCCACCATTTTGTTTTAATATTGTCTAAAGTAGTAAGTTCTTTTAGTCTTAAAATAGCTCTGTTAATAGGACTTCTGAATGGAGAATCTGTAAACAATATAATGAATTAGCTAATTTACCTTGAATATGAATGGGCATTGATTTTTTAATTCAAATAGGTAAGTGTAATAAAAAAAAAAGAAAAAAATATAATTGTTTTTATAATAATCGTTTAATGAAATCGAGTATTATAACTAATTTCATTGCAAATTTTTAAAATGCAAAAATTTTTGCTGAGATTTGTGAGGATACTTAATTGCGGTTCAAAAATTAAATGCAGTTTTCAGAAATAAACTCCTTATTTTGATATTTGACACACCCTCCTATAGGAGTATGACTTTGTTTTTCGTTTTTTATAGTAAGAAATGGGCAGTTCCACTGAAAATTCAATTATCGTAGCGTTCTTGGTTTGTAGATTGTAATTAGTGAATAATGCTCTTCTCTTCTTTTTTTAACTAGTCAGTATTAAAATTTGCAGTTAAATCTCTATGAATGAATTAAATGAATTCATATTTATTTGCAAGAAACATAAGTATACAGATGATAAGTCCACATATTGGAAATCTCTATAGGACGGACCTATAAAATGGTAACTGTAATTAGTTTTTTGTTTACTTGAATCCACTATCTGGCTCTGGATAATTGTTTCTTTATGTAAAATCCACATCTGGATAAACAGTTAATTTTTTTCCTATAGATATTTTCCTTCTCATTAGTTCACAGTTACTTACTTGCTGGCATAGCAATGCCGTAATCCTTTGAATCCAATTGTCCACCCACTTTCTCAAGGTCACAGTTTCTTCTTTGTTTGTATTCTATTGTGGAAGACTCCATGAAGAATGCATATTTATTCTTACTATTGAGTACTCTCTTTTCGCCTTCTTCGTTACTGTTGACGAGTACTCCTGGATGCGCCATCATGTTTTGGTACATCTTTTGATACATTTTGTCTTTGGAAGACTATAAACGACAATATGTTGTTTAATAACAGAAAAAAGTAAAAAATCAGAGAAAAAAAAATCAAAAAGAAAATTATCCATAATTAAAGAAAAAATATTGTGAAGAATCATATTTCTACTATCGTTCAATTCTCAAGTACAAACTGCGTATCAAACGCAGAGTATTGAGAAATTGCGAATTAAATGGTACCGACATTATTACTGTTATAAAGCAGAAATAGGTAAAAAGGTGATCAGGTATCCATTCAGATGTAAATAAAACTTGGTTCAGAGATATTTCTTTTTAATTTAATTCTTGTTATATTTAAAATTTGAATATACCATATAATAAATGTAAATACTCATATGAGTATGTACACATACATAGAACATAACCAATTCTAATTTTTTATATTTAAAAATTTTGTATTTATAAGTTTATGAATTGTTAGCAGTTTATGAGAGAGGCCTATTTTCAGCAGAGGACAGATAATGGCAAAGACGATGATGATGATGAAGTATATGGATTTACCCTGAAAAATTCGAGTGTTGAACCACCGTCAATTGCACCGTATAAAATCTTATTTTGTTTTGCTAAATCTTCAACGCTGTTGATGGGTTCGTCGGCGCGGGCGGATGTCATAGAGGCCGACAGCTGAGCAATGTAAGTTTGACAAACTATCATTGCAAAAAACCACCACATGGCACAAATCCAACGCGTGCCTAGACCCCTTAAAACAATGAAACGTATATTAGACGTTCCAAAATAATCGAACGCAAGCAAGTGGTTAAAAAATATACTGTAAAATTTTTAACGGAACAACTTACATACGAGTATAAAAGCAAGCAAAATATAATAAAAGATTTTAAAGACGATTTAAATCGCAGATTTACATCACTATTGAAGTCGCTGTTTGCTGATAGGACATCCTTGTGAGAGTCCAGAAATTTATAAAGTGTGTTTGTCAGTTTTATGTTGTTTAATGACGATCGGTTAAGCCAAGTGACTTAACCAATCGTCATTAAGTTCTGAATATACATAGTATGAAGCTTTCTTCATATTACTTTCAATTAACATATCTTGCTTGATTAAACAGTAATAATATATAATAATAATTTATTTCTAACACACACACATGTTTAAAAGCAGTTGCTTCAAGTATTGTTATTATGTTCTTTTTAAATACTTCTGGTAAGGATAATAAATATAATTTTTTTTATTGCTTACTTCGGCAAAATGTCGCAACCTTGCGTCATAATAGAACCCATAGTTAGCCAGGCGCAGTTCTTGAAGTTCCATATATTTTCTAACTCTTCTGGGTCTTTATCACATGGTTGTGGGTTTTCCCAGTCTGCTGGAGATATCCTGATAAAATACAATTATAACTGTAGTATAGTATATAGAAAATCTTGTAAATTTAGTTCATGTTTTGTATGAAGATTATTTTATTATTTATTATACGATTAATAATTAATAAAAAAAAACCTTAATTTGTAACTATTCAAAATAAATATATGAGGAATTGTATTAATTATTAATATTTCATAGAGCAGTGATACTGAGTAACATGGCATGTATAGTATATTAATATAATATACTATAAGAAATTTAATTTTAATTCTAGATTTCCTTATAATTAATATATCATAAGATTAATTTCAGATTGAAGACAGTGTAAGTTGTTTATCTGCTTTTAATAATATAATTATTTAATAAATTATTTTTAATAAAAAATAACAGGATATTCTGAAATTAATTTTTTTTTTTAAATAAAATATTTACCTCGCACACACGAACAGTACTATAGACACGACGCAATAAGCGGTCGCTGTATGCATCCATACATCAAAGGTGTATGGATTAAGAAATGAAAATGTTCCAGGCGGTTCTTCATATTCCTTGGTAAACAAAATACTGATTCCTAAAGACATAAAAGGCACCGAGAAATCTACAACTTTCTTCCTTTCTTCGGTTATAGTTAAATCGCAAACAGCTAAGTCAGCTTTCTGAAGTTGGAAAGATTTATAACATATTAATACGAGTATAGTATTAATGCCTAAATAATGTATTTATACTTATTGTAAAAGAAACAGATGTGTAAATGGTTCTAGTTAGTTGAACATACAAACTAATAAACTTACTTTATCTAACAAGTCACCTATTAATCCATCCCACTTCTTCGTTAGGGGGTTATATTTGCCGTAAGACTTATCCTCATCGTGGTAAAAGGAGTAAGTATAGTTATATTTTTCTTCTCGCAAAATTTCAAAGATCGCCTTAACTAGGTCTACGGAGAAACCCTCGTATTTTGGGTCAGCATCTTCTTCCACACAGTCAGGGTCATCTTCTTCACATTTTTGTTTGTCATAAAAATAAGGTTTTGCTCTTCGTGATATAACCTACAATAATTAAAATTTCTTAAATATCTCTTACAATTAAAATCGATTTGATTAAAATAGAATTCATGCGATTATTTATTCAATAATTTAATGGTTATGTATACTTGATATTTTTGATTAGGATTACACGTGCGTATATATATTTAAGGTATTTATATGTTCTGTTTGTCGATATTTTGAATTTTTTACCATTATTTTAATGTGTTACACTCAAACAATATAATTCTTTACAGGAGTTCTCAAAGTGATGCGATGAAGAAGAGAGTTGATTTGATTGATTAATATACTTACAATAAAGTGTTTACTAGTTTGTAAATTGCTTATACTATCCGTATTAGGGCGGTCTTCAGTAATTTCAGGGTCATTGGGTGATTCCCATGTGCCAATGGTTTGTCTTTCTGATAAATATATTTCGTTTACATATAATTTGTAATTCGTTCTTCTTCCCATCTCGTCAAATGTTATAACACCTGTGACACCGGTAGTCGTTGTCTGTAAGATATTATTGTATTATATTAGTGTAATTTTTACTTATAATAATTATGTTATAAACATTTATTATAAATATGTTTAATTTTAGATATTGTTCTACACAACTAATTTTCACCTCCTACTTAGTATAGGCCTATTACTTTAGATAAAAAAAAAACATTAAGTTCATATACAGCTCAATGGTTAAAGTTAAAAATGGCTAATGGTAAAGGTTCTTAACCTTTGTGTTTCTGAAGTTGTTTGAAAAACATCCCTTATAGCTATACTTGCAACTTTTATATGACATTTGAAATTAATTAGTAAAAACGTAATCACAGAGTAAATATGGCAAGACATAATGTGGCAATTTTATATTAATATTATACAGGTGACTTTTTAATAAACATGATCTTTGATTAACGAAGTCTAGGTACTAAAAGATTTATACTTTTTTGTAAAATTTTATCACAAGTGCCTACATTCAATATAGCATCTTGTAATTGAATTCCGAATTCCCATGGTTCGGCTTCATTATCACAAATATTGTTTTGTGGTTCTTGAAAAGTATCGGCATCTAATTTTTGCAGCGCCGTCAGAATGTGATTTGCTATATCATCCATTATCAGAGCTTCAATCTAGAAATTAATAATAATTGTTTAATAATTATTTTATTTTCAGAATCTCCAGCAACGGATTATGTAGAAGCATTCTAAGATTTATTATATTGATAAATTTATTATATGTAAAATATTAGAAAAATATTAATACGTTATATTTTGTGACAAATGGTGATTGTGAATTGCTGTTGATCCATTTTCCGACTCTTTGAGCGAGGTCGTGTTGTCCACTATTCAACTTATCATAATCCGTGATGCTTAGCCATGTAATGTTCGACTGAAATTCAGTGAGTTTCTCAGCTACGGTATAAGCGTTCATATTCACTAATATGTAATGCTGAAATAATGAAATTAAAAATAATGAAATAAATATACTGAAGAATATAATCAGAGATTGCGTAATCAGAGACTTGTATATCGCTGTTGTACTCATTCTATATGCCTAAATTCTTTCTAGCTCTTCTAATTTATGCAAGTGCTGTGTTTACTATTGAATTAAAAATTATTAGAATATAGTAAATTTATAAATCACAACATTTATAAATAGATTATTTTATATGTAACTTACAAGTGCAATAAAGAATATATATATCTAAATTGCATATTCCATTATCAAAGATTTAGTTGAAAACATAAATAAGCACAAGAGTTTTTGATCGTGATATATTTGATCTTACGATCGTTCATACGTTGTTTACAATTTTGTCAATTACAGTCTTTTATATACATATATTGTTATTTAACTATTCATACAGATATGATTTTATCGTTACCAATGGGACACCCTCTTCCCATATGGGAAGGTTATTAGCTTATTACTGTTTCATTGGTCAGGCGGAGTTTATAAATAAACTTTAATGTACGCACCTGATAATGATTTAACATTTCCAATTCCCGAGCTTCATTCATGTATTTCAGAATGTGATCCGCACGGCAGTCAATTAAAAAACGACTTTCTTGATATTGCTTTAGATCTTTGAAGACCTAAACAGATAAATAGTAAATAAAGAACACATTTTGTAGAAAAGTCTTATGTTGCAGCGAATTTCAATCACATAATGATAATTATATAAAGTAGCTATTCTGTGGTGAATAAAGTTCTCATTTCTTAGGAAAAGGATTAACAAGGTGGAGGTGTAAACAAGTCCTCATAATCTTTATCCCCTAATTTATTTAGTTTTGTTGTTCATTATACTGTGAGAGCTGGGAATTATTATAGAATAATCTGTGCTATAGGACAATTTGCGTACGGGCGAAATATTCGTCTATTAAATTTTGAAAATTAACTCAAATTATTGTAATATGTATTTAGTTACTTTATATTGTTGATTAGTGTCTATTACAGTATAAGAGTCATATAAACGATACGAAAAATAAACCCCTTTCGCCAATTGAGTAAAAATAAATTGAACTTACATGACGATTGTCAATATCCGGATCAAGTTTGCGCAAATTTACAGGGTGTTTTTCTGTGTGCTCAGCAAGAATCTTTTGTATTCTTAGTAAACCTGTTATAAATATAAATTACAAAATATTTAAATATCATTGTATTATCAGCTTAATGTCGCAACATCAATCAAATCATTATTCTTACTACGTGTATAAAATAAGACGGTAACATCTGGCAGGGGGGAAAATACCTTAAAAATACCAGATATTACCATATTTGTTTTTATTATTAGCCCATTAGATCCAAACTTTATTCTTTTCAACCAACGTCAAAAAGAAGAATATTCTCAATCCGGATGTATTTTTTTATTTGATACGTCATGTGGAACATAATCTTTATGTTATTATAAATTCTAAATTTCACAGATTTTACTGGTATTTATAGTAAAAATGAAATTATTTCATCATTTTGATTTCGGTATATATTCAGCTAATTTACATATTTTCCTTCATGTCAAATTTTATTAAAATTGGATTAAAAAAAATAGCTACGAACACAATAATTTGACAAACAGATACAATTTCATATAAGTAGATTCATAACCATTTAAATTACAATCAGAAAGTAAAAATTTAATTATGAAATTTATTACAGCTGTCTTAATTTATTAAATTGTTATTTTAATAGATAGAAAGTAACAATGTAATACCTAAATCATCTTCATATAGAGCAGAAAAACTCTCCCATTTGTAATATTTTAATAGTTTCGCATACGCCAAGGAAACTTCATTCGAGTCAGGATAAAAATTGATGCTAATTTTTTTGAAGACTGGCTCTTCGCTTTCTTCTTCGTCGAGTTCATGTCAGGGTCGAGGGGCTGCCACGTTGCTTGAATATGTGGTATATGAGATCTAATGCATTGGTCGCGCACTATCCCATCAGTAATAGGATTTTGTGGCCCCACCACAGCTATCGGTCTCATTTCACTATCTGAACATACTGAAATGGATGCATATAAAGCGTGTATGGAATTAGTGTAGCGAAATATTAGTATTTCTTCTATGCGAGTAAATAATTGGATAATTAATATTTATAAAATTGCTTAATTTTTCGCATAATCGAAATATAAAAATACTATTTGATTTTTTCATACAAAAGCAATCATCACATTGATTTAATATGAAATATTTCGGCTTGACAAACTTGGTTACACTTTTTATATTTCTTTCTATTGAAAGGTAATATAGGTTTATAAATTAATTATGAGCTCACATGAGCATGGAAATTAAAAAAATAATACTGTAATAATAAATAAAACAATAATAATAATAGCAAATTGGACAAAATTAAAATAAAGAAAACAGCTATTTCTTATGGAGATCCCAAGTAACGTGGCTAATTTCTTCTAAGATACTTCTACACAGTATCTTAAAATTCATATTTATGAATTTTAAGATACTGTTTTTTTTATTTAATTATGTATTTTTTTTATTGTTATTTATTAATTTATAACGGAAAATATACTTACATTCCTTCCAAACAGAGTAGCTATCAGTTCTGTCCGGTTTCAAGATAGCGGGAGCCAATCTATAGCCGCGCACGTGACCATGGTTAACGCTTTCGTTGAATGCATATTGTTGTGTTGTCGACTCACGTTCGAAAATGCCGGCTGTATATAAATAAAGTTATGATATATATAATAACAATGCATATATAATATCAGATTGTTAGCAATTTCTAATGGTTTAAAAATATATATAACTTGGATCTAATTTTGGCTGGAACCTAGAACTAGATTAATTTAGAAATAAATAGTCAAATTCATTAGGTCATGGACATAGCTTATTATTGATATACTTATACGTATTAAGAAAAAAGACTATGTCCATTATTATTTGTATATATGTCACGTGGCAACAACAGAAATTACATAACAAAGCCAAAATGGTTGCATTAATATCAACGTCATATATCAAATCATAGTTTACATTTCAAGATAAGAAGTAGTCTGAATTCAGCGAAAAAATATATTAGTTAGTTAAAGTGACTAATATTATTATGATTATTATATATATTATAGACCCATACTAATGTAGATTAAAATTATTTACGAAAATTTTAAAAACAAAATCACACGTAATGTTTATATATAACAAGATTTCACTTTTGTTATTAATGGCTCTTTTGAAAGATACAAGAATATTATAATAAAATGGATAAATGAAAGGTAAGGTAGAATGTATTATAAATTTGAATTAACTCACCAATTTGATAAGATATATCCTTCGTTTCAGTAATGCGAATTTCAGGAACACATTTATGTATAAAAAGAGTAATAACGAACAATGTCCACTTCATATTAATTAATTAAAAATGTATGGCTGTTAGTAAACATAAACAGGAAACATTGTAGGTACAAAATGTTTAAAATAATTTGGTGTTTCAGCCATGCCACGCTGCTGGATAGACTAAACTCTGGTTATCCGCCCGCCCAAACAAAATTAAACTGATACGGAGTTACGAATGCTTTGGATATGACACTACATGGATAAAACAATTTGAACTTTTTTATAGATACTTATATATATAAATACAATATGTCGTCGTTTAGTTATTGCAAAAGTATTCAGGTCGTAGTATATTAGAGGACTGATTTGGAACATTACTTATTAATATGTGTATTTAAATTATAAATAAATATTTAAACAAAGAATTAAAGTTACTAATTCGCATAAAGTAATTTATAATAATTAATTTTAATATCGAATCGAATACAGATTACAATAATTTTCAGTTTATTATACACATTTATTTATTTATTCTTTAGTTTTAAATTAAAATTGTATTTTATTACACGTATTTTATCGTGAATTCGTAATATTTTTCTCAAACGCTGTTTGAAAAATGTAAAAAGGAAATGTAAAATTTGAAAGAAATACTTATCAACTGTCACTTGTTACCAATTAGTAACTATTTTTGATTCACTTTTTGCTGTTTCATAAGCATTTATAACATAAATTTTAAGAAAATAGTAAGTGACTAGTAACATTTACTTCTAGAAATATGTAAAGGTATTAGTTTCTTATAAGGTAATGAAGACGAATATACTATATTTTTATTAAATAAATGCAATCATATATTCATCCTAAAACCAGTTCCGTAGTAACCAATATCGTATGAATGGTTCGCTAATGATGACGATCCGTCGCGACGGTGGCGGGTGTTAGCAATCGCGTCGTGACCTAAAATTGTTTTCCAAAAATACCTCATACCGTGTGGGGGCGCCCGTCGCTACACTACGCGACATCTACATACAATACCGTATTCATAAATGGCTAAAAGACCAATATGACGTCGCTCCAACTATTAATATTACTTTTTTTGTATCAAGCGTCTCAAACAAATGCAGCTCGAACCATCAGTTTGCCTGTTGGTATGTTATTTCTAAGCAGCAAATGAAAAACAGTAACAAACACACTTATATTTACAAATAACCTATTGTCTCGTTGTGTTTGTTTCAGGCGGTCTCTTTAATAGATATACTCAACAGAGCTCAAGAGAGGCCTTCGAGAACATAGTCAAAATGGGTGATTCAAATGTGTACTACGGCAGAACGATGTATTCTAACGCTGAAGACAGCTACTCCACAGCATTGGATTGTAAGTTGCTGTTTGAATTTGTCAAAGTACATTCAATATAGCATCTTGTAATTGAATTCCGAATTCCCATGGTTCGGCTTCATTATCACAAATATTGTTTTGTGGTTCTTGAAAAGTATCGGCATCTAATTTTTGCAGCGCCGTCAGAATGTGATTTGCTATATCATCCATTATCAGAGCTTCAATCTAGAAATTAATAATAATTGTTTAATAATTATTTTATTTTCAGAATCTCCAGCAACGGATTATGTAGAAGCATTCTAAGATTTATTATATTGATAAATTTATTATATGTAAAATATTAGAAAAATATTAATACGTTATATTTTGTGACAAATGGTGATTGTGAATTGCTGTTGATCCATTTTCCGACTCTTTGAGCGAGGTCGTGTTGTCCACTATTCAACTTATCATAATCCGTGATGCTTAGCCATGTAATGTTCGACTGAAATTCAGTGAGTTTCTCAGCTACGGTATAAGCGTTCATATTCACTAATATGTAATGCTGAAATAATGAAATTAAAAATAATGAAATAAATATACTGAAGAATATAATCAGAGATTGCGTAATCAGAGACTTGTATATCGCTGTTGTACTCATTCTATATGCCTAAATTCTTTCTAGCTCTTCTAATTTATGCAAGTGCTGTGTTTACTATTGAATTAAAAATTATTAGAATATAGTAAATTTATAAATCACAACATTTATAAATAGATTATTTTATATGTAACTTACAAGTGCAATAAAGAATATATATATCTAAATTGCATATTCCATTATCAAAGATTTAGTTGAAAACATAAATAAGCACAAGAGTTTTTGATCGTGATATATTTGATCTTACGATCGTTCATACGTTGTTTACAATTTTGTCAATTACAGTCTTTTATATACATATATTGTTATTTAACTATTCATACAGATATGATTTTATCGTTACCAATGGGACACCCTCTTCCCATATGGGAAGGTTATTAGCTTATTACTGTTTCATTGGTCAGGCGGAGTTTATAAATAAACTTTAATGTACGCACCTGATAATGATTTAACATTTCCAATTCCCGAGCTTCATTCATGTATTTCAGAATGTGATCCGCACGGCAGTCAATTAAAAAACGACTTTCTTGATATTGCTTTAGATCTTTGAAGACCTAAACAGATAAATAGTAAATAAAGAACACATTTTGTAGAAAAGTCTTATGTTGCAGCGAATTTCAATCACATAATGATAATTATATAAAGTAGCTATTCTGTGGTGAATAAAGTTCTCATTTCTTAGGAAAAGGATTAACAAGGTGGAGGTGTAAACAAGTCCTCATAATCTTTATCCCCTAATTTATTTAGTTTTGTTGTTCATTATACTGTGAGAGCTGGGAATTATTATAGAATAATCTGTGCTATAGGACAATTTGCGTACGGGCGAAATATTCGTCTATTAAATTTTGAAAATTAACTCAAATTATTGTAATATGTATTTAGTTACTTTATATTGTTGATTAGTGTCTATTACAGTATAAGAGTCATATAAACGATACGAAAAATAAACCCCTTTCGCCAATTGAGTAAAAATAAATTGAACTTACATGACGATTGTCAATATCCGGATCAAGTTTGCGCAAATTTACAGGGTGTTTTTCTGTGTGCTCAGCAAGAATCTTTTGTATTCTTAGTAAACCTGTTATAAATATAAATTACAAAATATTTAAATATCATTGTATTATCAGCTTAATGTCGCAACATCAATCAAATCATTATTCTTACTACGTGTATAAAATAAGACGGTAACATCTGGCAGGGGGGAAAATACCTTAAAAATACCAGATATTACCATATTTGTTTTTATTATTAGCCCATTAGATCCAAACTTTATTCTTTTCAACCAACGTCAAAAAGAAGAATATTCTCAATCCGGATGTATTTTTTTATTTGATACGTCATGTGGAACATAATCTTTATGTTATTATAAATTCTAAATTTCACAGATTTTACTGGTATTTATAGTAAAAATGAAATTATTTCATCATTTTGATTTCGGTATATATTCAGCTAATTTACATATTTTCCTTCATGTCAAATTTTATTAAAATTGGATTAAAAAAAATAGCTACGAACACAATAATTTGACAAACAGATACAATTTCATATAAGTAGATTCATAACCATTTAAATTACAATCAGAAAGTAAAAATTTAATTATGAAATTTATTACAGCTGTCTTAATTTATTAAATTGTTATTTTAATAGATAGAAAGTAACAATGTAATACCTAAATCATCTTCATATAGAGCAGAAAAACTCTCCCATTTGTAATATTTTAATAGTTTCGCATACGCCAAGGAAACTTCATTCGAGTCAGGATAAAAATTGATGCTAATTTTTTTGAAGACTGGCTCTTCGCTTTCTTCTTCGTCGAGTTCGATGTCAGGGTCGAGGGGCTGCCACGTTGCTTGAATATGTGGTATATGAGATCTAATGCATTGGTCGCGCACTATCCCATCAGTAATAGGATTTTGTGGCCCCACCACAGCTATCGGTCTCATTTCACTATCTGAACATACTGAAATGGATGCATATAAAGCGTGTATGGAATTAGTGTAGCGAAATATTAGTATTTCTTCTATGCGAGTAAATAATTGGATAATTAATATTTATAAAATTGCTTAATTTTTCGCATAATCGAAATATAAAAATACTATTTGATTTTTTCATACAAAAGCAATCATCACATTGATTTAATATGAAATATTTCGGCTTGACAAACTTGGTTACACTTTTTATATTTCTTTCTATTGAAAGGTAATATAGGTTTATAAATTAATTATGAGCTCACATGAGCATGGAAATTAAAAAAATAATACTGTAATAATAAATAAAACAATAATAATAATAGCAAATTGGACAAAATTAAAATAAAGAAAACAGCTATTTCTTATGGAGATCCCAAGTAACGTGGCTAATTTCTTCTAAGATACTTCTACACAGTATCTTAAAATTCATATTTATGAATTTTAAGATACTGTTTTTTTTATTTAATTATGTATTTTTTTTATTGTTATTTATTAATTTATAACGGAAAATATACTTACATTCCTTCCAAACAGAGTAGCTATCAGTTCTGTCCGGTTTCAAGATAGCGGGAGCCAATCTATAGCCGCGCACGTGACCATGGTTAACGCTTTCGTTGAATGCATATTGTTGTGTTGTCGACTCACGTTCGAAAATGCCGGCTGTATATAAATAAAGTTATGATATATATAATAACAATGCATATATAATATCAGATTGTTAGCAATTTCTAATGGTTTAAAAATATATATAACTTGGATCTAATTTTGGCTGGAACCTAGAACTAGATTAATTTAGAAATAAATAGTCAAATTCATTAGGTCATGGACATAGCTTATTATTGATATACTTATACGTATTAAGAAAAAAGACTATGTCCATTATTATTTGTATATATGTCACGTGGCAACAACAGAAATTACATAACAAAGCCAAAATGGTTGCATTAATATCAACGTCATATATCAAATCATAGTTTACATTTCAAGATAAGAAGTAGTCTGAATTCAGCGAAAAAATATATTAGTTAGTTAAAGTGACTAATATTATTATGATTATTATATATATTATAGACCCATACTAATGTAGATTAAAATTATTTACGAAAATTTTAAAAACAAAATCACACGTAATGTTTATATATAACAAGATTTCACTTTTGTTATTAATGGCTCTTTTGAAAGATACAAGAATATTATAATAAAATGGATAAATGAAAGGTAAGGTAGAATGTATTATAAATTTGAATTAACTCACCAATTTGATAAGATATATCCTTCGTTTCAGTAATGCGAATTTCAGGAACACATTTATGTATAAAAAGAGTAATAACGAACAATGTCCACTTCATATTAATTAATTAAAAATGTATGGCTGTTAGTAAACATAAACAGGAAACATTGTAGGTACAAAATGTTTAAAATAATTTGGTGTTTCAGCCATGCCACGCTGCTGGATAGACTAAACTCTGGTTATCCGCCCGCCCAAACAAAATTAAACTGATACGGAGTTACGAATGCTTTGGATATGACACTACATGGATAAAACAATTTGAACTTTTTTATAGATACTTATATATATAAATACAATATGTCGTCGTTTAGTTATTGCAAAAGTATTCAGGTCGTAGTATATTAGAGGACTGATTTGGAACATTACTTATTAATATGTGTATTTAAATTATAAATAAATATTTAAACAAAGAATTAAAGTTACTAATTCGCATAAAGTAATTTATAATAATTAATTTTAATATCGAATCGAATACAGATTACAATAATTTTCAGTTTATTATACACATTTATTTATTTATTCTTTAGTTTTAAATTAAAATTGTATTTTATTACACGTATTTTATCGTGAATTCGGAATATTTTTCTCAAACGCTGTTTGAAAAATGTAAAAAGGAAATGTAAAATTTGAAAGAAATACTTATCAACTGTCACTTGTTACCAATTAGTAACTATTTTTGATTCACTTTTTGCTGTTTCATAAGCATTTATAACATAAATTTTAAGAAAATAGTAAGTGACTAGTAACATTTACTTCTAGAAATATGTAAAGGTATTAGTTTCTTATAAGGTAATGAAGACGAATATACTATATTTTTATTAAATAAATGCAATCATATATTCATCCTAAAACCAGTTCCGTAGTAACCAATATCGTATGAATGGTTCGCTAATGATGACGATCCGTCGCGACGGTGGCGGGTGTTAGCAATCGCGTCGTGACCTAAAATTGTTTTCCAAAAATACCTCATACCGTGTGGGGGCGCCCGTCGCTACACTACGCGACATCTACATACAATACCGTATTCATAAATGGCTAAAAGACCAATATGACGTCGCTCCAACTATTAATATTACTTTTTTTGTATCAAGCGTCTCAAACAAATGCAGCTCGAACCATCAGTTTGCCTGTTGGTATGTTATTTCTAAGCAGCAAATGAAAAACAGTAACAAACACACTTATATTTACAAATAACCTATTGTCTCGTTGTGTTTGTTTCAGGCGGTCTCTTTAATAGATATACTCAACAGAGCTCAAGAGAGGCCTTCGAGAACATAGTCAAAATGGGTGATTCAAATGTGTACTACGGCAGAACGATGTATTCTAACGCTGAAGACAGCTACTCCACAGCATTGGATTGTAAGTTGCTGTTTGAATTTGTCAAAGTGTTTGGGATTATTAATACTTTTTTAGTAGTCGGTAGTATATTTTTTTAAATGGATGATATTATAATAATGGAAATACATGCGCTATTGTTATGCGTTAACAGGATACTTGTAAGGGATGATGGGTGAGAATAAAGTCAGGTCTGTTAGCCTATCGTGACTATTTCACCAAGATTTAATCACGATTGTTTCTAACAAGGTATATTGCTGGCAATCGGGTGTTCCCGATAACAATTAGTTTCTGTTCTCCAAATCAGTAATACGTATATTGCAAAATGAGTAAATGACTTTGTTGTATTAGATTCTTAGTATTTACGCAGATTCGATTTGAATCTTACTGTCTGCGTACACGAGGTTTACTTTGTTCACGGAGAAAATTCTTCTATATGTCTGCTCAAGCTTTTGAGTTCGACGAGAGACAATCCTTATCCTTATAATTTATTCTGGTAATAATAAAATACTTCAAAGCCTAATATACAATGAAAACGTGTTGTGCAAGTACACAGCTTGCGTTAAGGAAAATTTTCGTCATTTACACCGGTTACTTAAAAAATTATACAAGCATTTTGACCAAAATACCAACTGTACTTTATGATGAAAGTTATTCCTTGTGACCAGTGAGTTAATGTAGTAGACAGAAACCTGTCAAGCTATTTGCATAATCCCTCGTTGAAAGTTTTGATAGAAAATCCCCTGCCAGATCCCGTGGAAATACTTTTACCATACACCTATAGGCGATTAACCTCCTCTTGATATTCAACGATGAGGTTACATTAATGTGCATGATAAAAGGCCAGTTGAATGATCAGTTGAACTATGTATTTACATGTGTTTTATTATCGAGAGAAGAAAGGCAAAGAGAAATTAGGCTATATTACTATTGTACTTCTAATAATCTTACCCGTATATTACTAGGTGTTTACATTTCAAAAACAAAGCCATAAAAAACGTTACCGTTTAGTAATGTTTTTGTTTATTACACTTTCTTTTAAAGTGAATGTATTTTTCAAGTTAGGCAAATCTAATTTCGACGTCCTATTATAATATTTACTGAAAAAGTCTGTTACCTATATAGTTTTAGGTATCGACTTAATATAAAAATGTTTAATTTTTTATTTGAGTCTATCAATAAAGTTTACCAATCAATAAAGTTTAAATTACTTTAGACTTGAGAAATTAGTATTTTTTAATCTATTAATAAACAAATATATTAATGACAATGCCGCAAATAAGGCAATAAAACATGTATGTATGTACTTACTATTTACCAGATTTTGCTTCGCGATAAATTTTTAAAAATAAAGAAAATTTATCTAAAGACACAAACACCACAATTACCATTAGAAAATATACTGTGCCACTTATGGCATCCTCCCAAGTTGTAATTTTGCGTTATGCCTGTAATGTCAGAGATGTTCAAGTTATATGCAAATTTATTCTTTTTGCAGTATGTGAGATCACTTCAGATAATAAGGGAGTAGTAGCTTTGATTGACGCCCGACCCACGTATGGTCTTTGTGACACTGTATGTCTATTATGCAATAGATATAATGTAAGTATTCTATGATAGCTTGAAAGTATAGTATTTTAGAAAAAATGCAGATATAATATAAAAGTAAATATATTATATTTACTAATAATATTAAGGTTCGTAGTTTAGATATCTACTTTATTGAGGCCTGAAAGATTTAATAATCAAAGACTCTCAATGGTATGTTCATCATGGAAGAAATAAAAACTTTATGTTATTGAAAAATTTATTAAACGACTCACGATTGACGATCCTAATTAATTCAAGAGTTCATTCATTCATTTTCATTAAATAATTGTTATTGGTAAATTAGGATACGCTTGGTAAAAGTGGGTAAGTATGATCCCTATACCAGTATAGGTACCATAAAAAAATATTCTAAATAAAAGTAATTCATTGTGTGATTTATAGTAGAAGTAAAAACAGATATAAGTGATCAGAGGCTTTGTTTTGTGCTATTTAATAAGATATAAATAAATAAATACAATATTGATTTGTTGTGATTATAGATACCACATCTCTCTTTGGGTTGGGAACCTCCAGACACTTTGGCGGAAGAATTATTTACATTCTCCTATTACCCACCACCCGATTTAATTTCTAAGGCATACGCGAGACTTATTAAGGACCTAGAATGGGATAAGTTTTCAATTTTATATGAAGACGAGACTAGTAAGTACTGAAAGTATCATTAATTATTAATACGACTATTGTACTATTGCCTATATTTACTAATATTATGAAAGTAAGTTTGTTCGTTACCTTTAAGAGGTTCAATGCTTTAATTTATCCTCATAAAACTTGGTATATAACTAGTATCTGTTATCTGGCTACTATTATCCTGGTCAATTAATATATCGCAGTCACGGGAACGAGGAGTAAAAACTAAATATAAGTATATAGAAGTTATAACATACTTTATTGGATATGTACGATAATTAGTTATAAATATTTTTTTCTTTTGAATGGGTTAAACGGCAAAAGACGTATCAAATCTCACATCGATTTTATACGTCTTTTATTATACTAGAACTATCTGTGAAGTTTCATATGTTTATTTGACAGATTTCTTCATAGATATAATGGTAAATATCTTATTTACTTACAGATTTTTACCATATAAGTCGAAGGCAAATTAATAAGTAGTGATAATTAACATTTTTGTGTTTTAGTAAGTATTTAGCACGAAATAAAAAAGGAAATGAGAAGAGATTTGCAGTCAATCACAATTTATATATTCTGTATCATATAAAAATATATTCTTTTGTTGCAGGTTTTATTCGTCTTCACGAGATAATAAATACATGGCCTCAGGACAGGAAACCAATTGTATTCAGGAAATTAGATCCCAATGGGGATAATAAAGAAACATTTAAATATATTCTAAAGGCTGTTCATATAAGTTATCACGTATTAGATTGTGATATTAATAATGTGTACAAATATATGCGTGAAATAATGCAAGTAGAAAATTCGACGGAATATTTGGTAAGATATAATTAACTAATTAATTATTTGGTAAAATTAATTTAATATAAATAAAAAGATTATGAAATTGCATTCTGTGATATTTGTACATATATATGATTCATATACATGTGTGCATGCATATATCGAATGATTTGAAAAAGAAAAAAAATTTTTGGCCAATAACATTTATCGTGCTCAGCTGTATAATCATCAACATCAGTATCCTCGACTATAGATAAATTATAAAATATGTTTCATTATTAATGAAACATATCGCCCCAAGTATTGTTATAATATTATATGGTCAATATGATGTTTTTAAATGCTCGTTTCGCTTTTAAATTAACAAAATCACAAAAAAATTACCTACGATTTTTTTCTAAAATCATAGTCATTCTATAAAATGACGATGTTAGTTTTATGTATTCAGGTATGTGGCAAACCTATCATATAATATATTGATGATACATACTTAAAACGCAATTTAACTCAAAATAACTTCGATATTTTACAGAGTTTTGTGTTGACGGATCTTAATTCATTTACAATTAATTTCAAAGATATTCCCAATTTATTGGCAAATATTTCTACAATGCATTTGACTACGAGCGGGGATGATAAATGGACAGATATTGGGATAAATAAAGATAAGGAACCAATACGGGTAGGTAAACTTTTATTCATTTCATCATTGTATCACCCTTAACCATCCATAACTAAATAAATAAAATCTGGCCGTATGGTCCTGGCATAGAATAGGCCACCCCTTCCTTTCCCGTGGGTGTCGTGAAAGTCGACTAAAGGACGGCGAGGGATGGGCAGCGGCGTCCTTTATAAAACATCTCTAAAGCCTGATTGCAGTTGCCAACCCACCTGCCAAACGTGGTAACTACTGGTAAAATTACCCTTATGTTCAGAAGTGGACAGTTAACGGCTAAAATGATGATTATGATGTAACTTTAATACTGCAGTTTATACAATAAACAAGACATGCTGCTCTGGAATTCTTTTAACCTTGCCACTCCTAATGACTAAGGGTTTATATCTATTGTATTACCAATAGAGAAGACGCTACTTTATCAGACTACACAACAATGCACAAATTGTTGCTGCAGTAAAACTTTGTATGCATGATATATGTAATAAATAAATACTTAACTTACGTATATTGGTTGTTTTTGGTATATTATCTAAAGTGATGCCTTATTCCTTTTTTATACCCCAATTATTTTGGTTTTAGCTAGAAACCGCTTTAGTTGTTGATGCTTTGAATCATGTGGAAAAAGCAATTAGAGCTATGCAACAGGAAGGCGATGAAGAGGGACAAAGTATTTCAATAGGACCACATCTTCCACCTGAACCACCATCTATGTGTTACAAGGATTCTAAAGCAGATTATGAAAATTTAGCTTGGACTTCTGGCAACATTTTGAGAGAAGCACTGTTAAACGTATGATTTATTTTGAATTAGAATTACATTATATTAAAATCTCTTTATAATTATTGTTCTGGAGAGTTCAAACTTCTTTTTGTTATAATTGTATCTATTCAACCAAAAATATTTTAAGGTTAAATGGTTCTCTAGATTCCATATAATACTTCAGAAGTGACGACGAGATCAACATTGGATATAAATGTTAATGTTACATAAATATATTTCTCGATGGGATATAAGAAACTGCTACACAATATAACCTACATTATCCACAAGGGGCCTTTGATGATACGTAAGGTTTTTCGGCAAATCGGAAACGAAACTTCTATTTCTTATAATGGAAATATTTTCTGGGCTATGGTATATGGTAGCTGATAATATTCTATATAATATTTTTAATTGTTTTGTGTATATTTTTGAACAACTATTTAACTATTATTTTCAACGATATAGTTTTATTCATTATAAGTTTTTTGCCCACTATTTTGTACTTATGGAGTTTAAGATAAAACATACACTAGTTTTTAAGGTATATGAAGATATGTATACATACAAGGAAATAATTTAAAAAAACTGCAACCAATTCGGTTGCATTGGTAGTTAGATGGACAGACAGACAGACAACATATATATAAATAATAGTCACCTATCTATCGACCGCTAATATAAGCTTGTCTCATATTTTAATATATAGATAAGTTCTCACCCACAAATTAACAACGTCTCGTCGGCGTCATTTCATCCTAAACTAACCCTATGGTCATCATTCAAGAACCTTACTTTATACTAGTTATTAGTACTCGAAATATAAGAGCGGCTTAGTTACTTTACTTTTCTGCAATGATAGTGGACAATTTTATGTTTGTGTTATGTAATTTTTCAGACAACAGCGATTGGTTTGACTGGAAATCTTCAGTTTGATGAGGAAGGGAGAAGAATGAACTTTACGTTGCATTATTCAAAATTGAGTAATGATGGAGAGTTTGTAAATATCGGGCATTGGGATTCTACAACAGATTTAATTAAAAAAGAGAACTATGTTGAAGACCGTCCAAAGTCTATGGTGTACAATACTAAAATAAGGGTAATATTTATTAATTACAAAATAATAACTATTTTTGCAATTATAGTCCCTAACGTAGTAGTTAGAGGCATTTGTTGACTGATGCCATTGTGATGAATGTAACTTGCCATGCTCACTATAAAATTGTTTTATTTATTTTATTTTCTTTTTGGAATTCGAATTTGCAAACAAGTTGACCGCCTACCTTACAGATTGCGGTAACGGTGACCTAATAGTTTCATACTAATAGATACTAATAGTTTCATAGATATGACACAGTAAACCGAAGGTCTAAGATTCCTCGGTCCTCAGTATGAAGTACGAAGTTAAAGAATATGAAGGCATATTTGCCGTTGTCTGTAACTGCCATATCATACCGTTCAAATAAAAAATACAGCTTTGCAAGCAATTTGCGCTAAAAATACGAAGAGAACAAAAAAATAATTATGGCGGCTAGAAGCTATTACAAGCACGCAAAAATTACTTTCCTCTTTATTTTTTTTTTCTGTTTGTTTTTATTTATTCTTTATTGACTACATTACAAAAAAAAATATTCTCTCCCAGATAACCTTCGGTAGAAACGTAATTATGTGGTGAAAAAAATTGAATTAGTCGGAGTTATTTTATAATTTTGTTATTTTAGGTAGCAACTAGAGACGAGAAACCTTATTATGGTCTCTATGAGTATCCAAATAAGACGAGCGAGTATCGTGGTTACGCTGTTGATCTAATCGATGAAATATTTACAGAAATAAAGAAAAAGGAAAATGTTGAATTGGAATATGAATTTTATATAGTAGATGGTAATAAGCATGGCAATCTTATAGCTGGAACAAATAAATGGGATGGACTTATCGGTGACTTAATAGAGCATGTAAGGAAAATAAATTAGTTTTTTTTTCTAGATTTATTCATGTCTGATGCAATCATATCCGAAAATTTGAATTTCGCAAAATATATAATAAATAATGTAGAAAGTATTTGTGTAACTTTCAAGCAACTAAATAGCCAGTGTTCTTTTGACAAACGAGATAGGTACGATTAGATTCATCTTCCTATTATAAATGGCATTGTGTAGCTATATAGGAAATAGCTAAATGTGTCTCGGAATTATTTCTCTTTGGATACTAAAACTCATTTCTTTTTGTGATACCAGGTAATCTATTGGTCTTATTCGTAAAAAAAATAGATTTATAGTATTTTAGTGATGGAATCTACGTGAGTTACATTCACAACAGTTGTCGAAAGAATAATAAAGACACGATTTCATTACATATAGTTTATATGGATGTTATTTTTCAGAAAGCCGAGTTGGCAATATGTGATTTAACTATTACTTCGGAGAGGAACGCTGTTGTTGATTTCTCGATACCCTTTATGTCACTGGGCATCAGCATGCTATTCAAGGAAGCGGATCCGGTAGATCCAGATATGTTTTCGTTTATTAAACCCTTATCACTCGATGTTTGGTTGTATTTGGCAACAACTTACATCATAGTCTCATTTGTGCTGCTTATTTGTGCAAGGTGTGTAATTATAGGTAACATATTAATAAAATAATTACCTTTTTTATATTCAGATGAAAAAGTCTACTAAAATAAATAAAAAGATTTACTTATATGTAGGTATAATAGTTAATATTAGAGACATAACTTAGATAGTCAATAAACGAATCTCAGTCACTGGGGTAGTGTATATCTTAGAATTTAAACTACCTAAAAGATAGAACGAGAAGTTGTTAAATAATAACTATCATGAGTCATACTCTATGTTATTGTAATTACAATATTTATATTAGCTTTACTAATGTTTCAAATTCGGGGATACAAAACTAAATATTTGAAACTAGTCGAGCAACCCAGAAATTGAAATGTGAGTAAAACCGATATAAAAAATTATAATAGAAAATATTTTTTAAAGAAATTTTTAATCAGTGTAGTATGCCAGTGAAGAGCGATGGTAGTATAGAACTGAAACACAGTAACTACTTGCCATATGTGAAAGCTCCAAATTGCTCAGCGAGCTATAAACAGCGCTACGGTTGGCATTTTGTTGCGTGATAAAATCAGAAATGAGGATATCCGCAGAAGGACTAAAGTGATTGATATAGCCCGAAGGATAAGAAAGCTGAAAGCAGAAGTAGCAATGAATCGGCCATATAATTCCTTGAACCATCAATAGGTTATTATAGTAGTTTAATAGGCGTAGAATTATGGTTTCTATAAATAAATATTTTGTTAATCCTCATGATACTTTAAATTTTTCATTTTGACTTATATATATGTAACAATTATTAGGATTAATATGTTACCGTTTTAAAATATATTTATTATTTTTGTTGATTTTAGAATGAGTCAGGACGACTGGGTAAATCCACATCCGTGCAACCAAAATCCGGAAAATTTGCAGAATATCTGGAGTTTATACAATTGCATGTGGCTTACAATGGGTGCTATTATGACTCAGGGTTGTGATATATTGCCAAGGTATGATAAATGGTAGGGTCATTCTCTATTATTTCTGTACAATATACTTATTTATGATACTGAAGCCTGATAAAATTATAACGCTGACGTCAAAGGCATTTCAATGATATCATTTGCGTTGTATTAATTTAATATTATATTTTATATTTATTTGTACATAACATTATTGATAAGTACAGTTTTAATTTATGATTATTAATTTCTCTGTAGACCCTTTGTTGGACACTGAAAATTATAATTTTGATATTGAACTTAAATTCTAAGAATTATTTTGTTGCGGGTAATTTTGTGTGACTGAAATTTATTTTGATTTTCTAAAAATATTGCTTAACTTTGTGTGTTTTATAAATATTAATTAGAGCGTAATAACGCGTCGTTAATTGTATCAAACACCAAAGATATTTAAGGCTTAAGTTTTATCTCTCTGATGTTACTGATTTTAAAAGTTCCGTTGTTTCGTCATTTATTATAAATTTATTGTTTTATAATGGATAAACTAAGGGAGGGCGAAGGATGGGCAGTAGCGCCCGTCTTAGAATATCTCTAAATCCTGACTGTAGTTACCAATCCGCCTGCCAAGCATGGCAACTACTGCCAAAACCTCTCAAAGGGAAGGCTTATGTTCAGCAGTGGACAGTTAGTGGCTGAAATGATAATAATGATGAATGGATATTTTGGTTGTTGTAAAGGTTTATTTTTATTCTTTTAATTCTCAGAGGGAAAGGATCTCGTTGGACTGCCGGTGTATGGTGGTTCTTCGCGCTAATCATCACTGCCTCTTACACAGCTAACATGTCTACCTTCATCAGTAATGAACGGCGAAGTAACGAGATCACCAATGTCAAGCAACTTTCTGAACAAACTAAAGTCTCTTACGGCGCGGTGTATAATGCTTCTACTTATAACTTTTTTAAAGTAAGTATTATGCTATTTTGTAGTAATACCAAATATGAAAAGATATTAATGAACAATATTATAAAGGCAAAAAATAGTAGATAAATTACGAGATCATGTTTTAATTTTAGTAATACTTTAACACCTATATAAAAATAATCAATATAAACTCTGTTTTAGTTAGCTGTATTTGGAAATGGAAAAATGTTTCATTAAGTTTAAATTTTCACAGGTATTACTTATAAAGGCTTCTGTTACACTGTAAACGCTAGTTTAATGATTTTCTTAATTCTAGAATTCAAATGACTCTGTTTATCAGAAAATTTGGACTGTAATGAAATCAGCAAAACCTAAAGTATTTACTAATAATAACGAGGAAGGCAAGGAGAGAGTTTTAAGAAGCAAAAATGGAAACTTTGCGTTTTTCATGGAATCATCGGCCATTGAATATTTTAGACAAAGAGACTGTCGTTTAAAAATGGTTGGAAATAAACTAGATTCCAAAGAATATGGCATAGCTATGCCAAAAAGTGAGTAAATTCTCAATGTTGTGTACTAAATATTTACAGTTATCTATGATTATTATGTAATACAGAATTGTATTAACTTAATGATAATAGGTATTAAATGAATTTACCTCACAGTTACTTTGTTCATATTACATATGTAACAAAATAAATAAATAAATACATTTATTTCTTTATAGAAAGGTAGTTAGTTACATTACAGGGTTTGGTATCTCCTGTTAAGCAAAGATATGTCACGTATGACATTCGATTACTTGCAAAGTTAACAATAATAATTATGTTATTGTTACAGATTACCCACGTAAAGCATGGATAGATAATGCTATTTTGTCTTTACAAGAGATGGGAAAGCTTACAGCATTGCAAAAAAAGTGGTGGGAAGAAGAAGGTGATAGTAAACATTGTGACGTAAGTAGTGACACTAATTTAAGATTTTGTCACAGTAAACAAAAAAATGCTACGAATAAATTAATATGGAATAAAGGTACCCTTCTAACTTATATCACAGATAATATAACTATATATAAATCAGTATCCGTCTCGAATGCACAAACGTACTAAACATGAGCTAAAATATAAGAATTTTCTTTGAATTTCATTGATATATTAACGTTTTTTATTTGTAATATTTACTCGTATTTTGAGTTCAAATCGACTATGTTTGCTGTATTATTCTCAGCAATATAAAAAAAAAAAACGTAAAAGATTTGGTAATTTTATTGTTTTAAAATTGACCAAAACATTTATAATATTTGTATGTATTGCAGAAAAACGCTAAGAATGAGGATGACGGTGGATCACTTCAAATGAAAAATACTAGTGGTATATTTTTAGTACTTGGCGTAGGAGGTATATTAGGGCTGATAGTTGCTGTCATCGAATTTTTATTCCATGCACGCCAGATTTCTGTTAAAGAAAAGGTAAGTAAATTAAAATGAATAAAATAAAAAAAAAGGTACTATTAAATACATATACATGTATGTACAGTAGATGGAATACACTTAAGATCTTAAAATGTTTATACTTCTACTTATATTTATAAGGAGATATTTTTATGGTTAGAATGTTAATACAGTATGTAATTTCAGCATATTGCTAATTGGCACAATGACCTAATTATTATAATGTTAATACTATTATCTCTGTGGCTTTCATTGTAACATGATATAATTTCAACAATCCTAGATATTTCCACAACTGTGCAAATTATATATATACAATGTTATTTATTTATTTCCTTGTTACATTATCTTTTCAAGATAGATAAACTAACAAAGTATAACAAACAAAGGGTTTAATACGAGAAACGGTAACTAAACCAATATTTTTTAGAATTTTTGTCCATCTATTGGTCTGTATGTTTTTTGATATTACGCAAAAAATATTAAAACAAATTTATTGCAATTTTGATATTATTGTATTCTTGAAGGTTGATCTTTAAATATGGTGTATGTTTTATTTAGAAGTATTTCCCGCAGCTTTGATGGCGCAAATCGGTATAGTCCAATGTGTCAAATTAGAATTTAACCTATCCGTGTACAAAATTACATTCAACTCCATTCAGCGGTTTAAGAGTTATTAAGTAAAAATTATACAAGCAGTTTTACAAATTTTCACTTTATTAATAAATAAGTATGAATAGAATTAATATTCATAAAATAATTTGACGATCTCCGTGGTGCAGTAGTGAGCATATGTTGCTTGGTGTAAATGAGGTCTCACATTCGGTTCAATTTAGGAAATGATCTTTTGTGAATTTGCTCGGGTTTTGGTATTCTTGGTTTTACTCCTAATGTAAGAATACATTGCCTAGTTATTTATATAATATTATAGAGTATCCTAGCTTGCTGTATGGTTCCGTCAGAGAATAGATATAGAGGCGGCTGAGGTGACTCTTAATACATTATCAAAGCCTAACTGCGGTTGCAAATCCACCTGACAAGCATGGAAACTACTGGCAAAAATCCCCAAAGGGAAGGTTTATATTTAGCAGTGGACAGTTAAAGGCTGATGAAATGATTATCCTAGCTTGAGGACCCGGCGATTGGTATGATTGCATAGGACTTATTATTAATGATTGTTAATTAAATAAAACAATTCTAGGTAACGTTCCACGAAGCGGTTGCAAGTGAGTGGCGGGCGTCGTTGAATCCTCGGCAGCTACATAAGCCGGCGGCGCCACCTCGGTCCGCGCCACCGTCCACCGGCTCCCCGTCACCAAGACGCGAACGGTCGCAGTCCAGGGCGGTGTCTGTTCTACGAGCAGCTTCCTCATTTATCAACTTTGATGAAATATACTGATCTATATTTACATAACAGTGTCAAATTATCATTGCAAGTAGTAATAGATACCTACTTACTTAATAAGTTTGTTAAAATATTTAAAATAGAAGTGACTTTTAGATGGTATTCTGTCATCTTGTGGTTGCGCCCATTTTAAAATTATATCATTTATTTTATTGTTATATACTCTTCAAACACTTTTATTTGATTCACATGGTTGACAAAATATATTTCATCCTCGACATAGTCGTGTCTGTTCTTCCTCCTTCATTAATTTTGAATAAATATATTGAACTAGCTTTTACTCGCGAATGTATTCACGTGATTGGGATTTGTTGATTGACCTGGATAATAAAATTCTTTTTAAATCAAATATTTCACGAGAAGAGATAAACAAACTCACATTAATATTCATCAAATTAGTAAGAAGTATACAGAACAATGTTAAACCTACATACTAGTCTAAATTTGTAGGTACTTACTTACTTTCGACTCCATGCAACGACAAGCTATGAGAATTGTCGATGAGCCCAGGTTTACAAGCGGTGTCGAATCCTTAAGTCTTAGGAAAAAATTTGCCTCACTCTGCGTGTTTTATCGCTTGTACAATGGATTGTGTTCAGAGGAATTGTTCAATATGATGCCCACGGCCACTTTATACCATCGTACGGTTCGCTATCGACAGTGTGTTCATCCTCATATCCTACAGCCTAAATGGTCGCGTATAGCGCGGTTTCAGATATGTTTTATCCCACGAACACTTAGGTTATGGAATGAACTCCGAGCCGAGGTTTTCCTAAGAGACAACAGCATAGGGTTTTTCAAAAGGGGTTCATAGGCTATGGTAACCACTTACCATCAGGTGGGCTGTATGATTGTTTCCCACCTCAGTTGTATAAAAAAAAAAAAACAGAAAATAGTTATAACCTTTTGATCTCTCTGCTCTTGTTTCTCTCTGCCTCCATTTCAATGCTACCTTGAGCTATAAGGAGTTTGTCGTCTGCAAAGGCTTGTATGTGAACTCCGCACTACTGACATGCTTCAAGTATCTGATTGAACGGGACATTCCAAAGAATCGATCGAATCGACAGACTGATCTTTAGATACAGTCCCTATTCGTTTTCCTGTTTACAGTTGTGCCAGAATAGTTAACGGTTATCTTTCTTTACGACAGATAAGATGTTATCAGTTGCAGTATGTCCTCGTCTATTCCTATGGTGTCCATTATGTAATAACATAATAGTAGACAACCAGGCACTGTGGAACGTCCCTTGAATATCAAGGGAGACAATGACTGCCAGTTGTTCGGATTTTATGGCGCTTTTGATTATGCTCAAAGCAAGATAATACTATGGGTTACATTATTGTAATTGTCGTAGGGATTTCTAATTAATTTTTAAAATAATACATAGCATATGTTATTAGCTGATAATAGGTAGATAAAAGAATTTTTAAAATCGGTTCAGTAGTTTTTGAATTAAACCGTTACAAACAAACATACAAAAATTAAAATCTTTCCTCTTTATATTATTAGTATACTCTATACTAGATATATAAATTTTGTTTATTAATATATAATTGTTTTTTTTTTCTATATGGATTCTATAAAATATTTATATATTTACTTATTTCTTTTTACATTCCATGATATGGTTGGTAGATATTAAACAACTCTAATTATGAACTTTGTTGGGCGCAGCAATTATGAGAGAGGAGGACAACCTTATTTTTACTTTAGAAATAATTATTGAGTTTATTACAATATTATTCAATCATTTAAATTTAATTTATGTAACACACATTTAATTTAATTTATGTAAACAGGTACTTTAATACAGGGACGACAATTTTGTCGGATAAATCTGATCGAGGAAAAGATTAATATAATAAAATAAAACAAAAAATATTTTTTTTAAATGTTTGTTCAATAAAGATTTTACAATACAATACATGTGATCACACCATCCTGAGCAAACATAGAGACTACATGGTCTATAAATGTGATCAACCGAAAACATTCTTTGTTCTACCCTCAACGGTTGACCGCACTAAGTGCTTTTTCATGCTACGTTATAGGACGAAGGAAACATGTCACGGGAAAGACCATTGTCACGGCACGGTTTACGTAAAGGTTGTTAACTTATTAGAACGTGAGCGTCGGTGTCTACAGTGTATAGCTGCAGTTGCTGACCAATCTTCGTGGTGCTATATAGTGGAAAGGGGAAGGTGGAATAAGAGAATTAAGTTCTTCTAAGCACTTAACATGAAATAAACAGAATTATGTATATTTTAATTCTGAACATATTATGTAAAGCAAAGCTGTTCTTAGCATGGTACTAGTTGGAGCTAGTACCAAACTGAAAGCAGCTTTTATTACGATTATTAGACTTTTGGTATATATATACACCTATATGTTTTCTCTCTAAGTACGAGTATGTATATAAAATAGGTAAATAGAAAATATTTACGTAATATAAGTATATAGTATATTATACTCATGAATACAAATGTTTCTATTGAGTATGCGGGAATCGAACCTCCTACTACTGAAAGTTAACGCAGTGTATTAGACCTCCACTAAAGCTGTACAAGAATTAAAATAACCGATAATTAACAGAAATTTTAAATTAGATAGTTATAGAAAACATAAAAAATATAAACAATATTTAAATATCTATCCCATATATGTGTGTTAGAAAAAAAAGATGCGAGTAAAATTATTGGGGAATCGATAATCTGTTTCTGTATCTTTTATACCATGTTACAGTATGAACAGGATGAAATATTATCGTACAAATAATAGTACATACAGTATGGATATTACCTGCCTTTCTTTCTATTTGATTTCATCTCTATTATTGCTATGCTTTTCGAAAGTTACATATGTACAAACAGTCTATTTATCTAGTACTGACTGTCATGGATTACGTCGGTCGTTTCTGTATTCAGCAAATATGCAATATCTGAATGTTGCTTATTGCATCCGATTTGTAATAACTGTTATAGTAAATGTTGTATCAGGTAACAAAATATCTACTTTGGTAGCATATTAAACATAATGATGTAATCCAAAAAAATATTTCTTTAGTACTCGCATAGCAACTATGTCTGTAGGCGACGGATACCACTTATTATCACTTGTGCCATCAGCTTATTTGCTATTCTATGTTGCATAAAAAAAAAATATTGTATTTATTATATACTATGAATTCATTTTAGGACTTTCTTGTATTCTTACAATTTCCAAATATTATTATGAGACAATATTATTTCTTAATTATTTGAACATCTCAATATGGAACAAATCGGCAGCAGAACGGAGAACGGAGGAAGCTCTTGATCCAGCTTTGGATTCAGACGCAGATGACGAGGGTCGTGAATGTTCTACTGGTTTTTCCGTCTCCCAGAAACTCAATGCAAATATTAGCTCCGCCCAAAATGCTTCTGACTGTGTCATCTGTATAATTTACATATTAATTAAGTGCATAACATACAAAGTAGTGCAGCGAACCGTTGCAGTGCGCTATTGAGTAAATGAAGTCTATAGGTACGAGAATGTATTACAGAAAGTATTAGTATATATTAGAGATTTTGCGTATGCTAGATTACTATATTCCAGTTCCAAGATTTTTCCAAAATATTAGTATTACTTATTGATTCAAAGCTACTTTTAATCTTTATATGAAATTCATGAAATTTTAGTTTAACACGAAGTAAGTAGAATTTCAAAAAGAAGCAGAGCGAGTTAGGGATATATATCTAAAAGAATGTGAATATTTGATTAATATCTGACTGACTTCTACTGCTGATTCTGTCTGACTACTTAAAAACTAATGACTTACTTAAAAACTAATCCAACATTAGCTGTTTAAATAGGTGACCAAAAATTAATGCAAGAAACCACAGCACCGCACAAAAGTCGTTTATTTGGATATCTCTGTCCCACTGGTGTTTTATCTGAGAAGCAGTTATGATTGCATGATTGTGTTTCGGTTCGAAGAATATGATAATACCATCCAATAGTTGTTAGGAGTGGCAACGCATTAGGGTCCCCTAATGGGCACCATGGGCACCATAATGTAATCTGTGATGTCTATGGTGCTGTTTATGTTAATAGTGGCGTTTACCAGTTTTCATCAAATGGGCCGTCAACTTACAATGTGCATGAAGGAATGTAAATAGTATATTGCTCTCACCTTTTGCTCTATGGCAACTTCCCTGACATGCCAGAGGAATTCAATGATCCCCATTCCCAATGCTATACCGCAGCCAACTCCTAGTACTACAAAAACACCGCCGACGTTTTCTATTCCCAATTCTCCTGCACTAGTATCTTCACCCGCTTCTTCCGTCTGAGGCAAAAGATATATAGTATATTTTAGAATAACTTGTATACATAAAATATCAGAAGATCTATGGTAGCCATGCGACGCAATATATACTATTGTCCTTTTTAATTCTTCCTTTTTAAACCACTATTAATTTATTCCTTCAAAAACATATCTCATTACATCATTACTGATAAATATAGTCAATTGTATCTGAATTGTAAGCTTCTCTCCTTTTTGAAAATAGGACGATAACGTTTCTCAAGAGAATGTACATGTATAAGTGGATTTTCTGCTATAAAGAATGCTTCAGAATTTAGATATCTTTGCTATAATTTGAATATAAATCTGAAAATTATGATTACAGTCTTCATTAATTTTGCTGCCAATGTGATGATTTATCTAGCGGTAGTATATTTGGATTTTTTTTATATTCTAAAATCTTACTCTTGATAGGTTGCCTCTTAAAATAGATTTGAATTAGATATGTACATTATATATATCTAGATCTACTGGGATTTTAGCCATGAGCATATTTATTTATTTTATTTTTCGGTAGTATGAAAATATTTAAAGCGTCACTGTGTTTTATAAACTTACAATGCATCCTCCAGTTTCGGGCGCTTTCCACCAACGGTTTTTAAGTTCAACTAATTTACCACTTTCAGCTAATTTCAATACAGCATTATCCACAGCAGTGCGATAAGATGAATCTGAAATGTTTTACATGTCTTTTTCTAAATATATTGTGTAATATTTTTTTTATAAGGTATAAGATTAATAAGTACTCACAAAATGGCATAGCTATTCCATATCCTTTAGAATCTAGTAAGCCTCCTACTTGCATGAGGTCACAGTGTCTTTCTAATTGGTACTCTATTGCAGTAGATTCCATAAGAAATGCATAAGTTCGTTTACTTTTTAGAACTCTGTCTACTCCTTCATCATTATTCTTTACGAAAACTGATGGTCGCGCTGATTCCATAGCTGCCCCCATTCTTTGATAAGTAGAAACATTTGAACGCTATAAAAATATTCAACTATATTTACTTATTTATATATTATATGATAACGTATAATATAATGTAAATATATCTGTGTATCAAATAACCAAACATAACAAACAACAAACTTTTTCTTTTGCAATATTAGTGGAATTTATAATTTAATAACCTTGAAAAATGAATAAGTCGAGCCACCGATTACAGTTCCGTACTTGATTTTTGTTTGTGAGACCAGATCTTCAACGCTTTTGATTGAATCATCCATAGCGGCATTAGTCAAGAAGGCGGCTAAATTTGCAGTGTATGAGGAACACATTATCATTCCGAAAAACCACCAAAGTCCACATACCCATCGAGTGGAATAACCTCTAAAAAAGACAATATTATTTAATGTTTTAACATGAAAAAAATGTTTGAAAACATGCAAAAAATTTATGATCTAAAGTAAAACTTATACTCTTACTTAGGCAAAATATCTGATCCCTGTGTCATTATAGAGCCCATAGTTAGCCAACAAGAGTTTTTAATATGCCATATATTTTCCAACTCGTCAGGTGATTTATCACAAGGATGAGGATTTTCCCAATCATTTGGAGAAAATCTAGAATTATAAATACAATTAATTGCAAAAATAATATTTAAAAATACAAATGTAATAATTTAGAGAGTAAAAAGCCAAGATACAATTATCTATTATATTATGTATCCAATTATATATTAATTATTCTATCTCGTTATATGGAGCAGTATATTGACTAATAATATCTAAGTGGACGTTGTCTATAGTAATACTTAAAATTTCCATACCTGGCTAAAAAATGAAGCATTAAAGATACCATTAAATATGCGGCGGCCATATAAATCCAAACATCTACAGACAATGGCTTTAAAAATGAAAAAAACTCTGGAGGTGGCGGAGTTGCTTTTAAATATAAAATACTTATACCCAATGTCATGAAAGGCGTTGTAAAATCTACGGAAGATCGTCTCTCGTATGTTATCGTCAAATCACAAATTGCTAAATCAGCTTTCTGTAAATATTGGTTAGTCTTAAAAAATAGAATATTATATAGATATTATATGTAAAAAGATATTAATATTGGTCTAATGATAGAAAAATTGATTCGATTTTGCATGCAAAATAATATGTAATAAAGAAAATTGTCTCTCAGCATTAACATAAAATGTAAAAAGAGGAATTTATTATAAATAACACGCATATAAACAAACCCTTTCTAAAAGATGTCCGATAAGACCATTCCATTTTTTCGTTTCCTTTGAATATGAACCATATCCATTTCCTGGTACAATCTCTATTTCATAATTTAAATTTAAAGTCTCTTTTAATATTTCATGAATTAAGTCTTTTGAATAGCCTTCATACCGATCATTTCCAGTTAAAACTTCACCTTCTTCTGGAACTCTTTCAACTAAATACGGAGCGCCAATTCGTGACACTACTTTGAATGTTTTGTTTTGCCACTTTTCAGCCAAGAGGTCTGATACATCCGTCGCCGATCTCATATACTCATATCCAGTATCTGGATTCCACTTAGCTATCATATTAAAACCACTGTTTGATAGTTCCATTATTTCTATATTGAAGTTTGTACGTTCTCCTGTTATATTATCTAATATGATCTGGTCTGTTATACCTATTATAGGATTCTGAAATTTAAATAGTTACATTTCAGTTTAAATATTAAAATTTCAGAATCCTATAATAGGTAAATTTAATTAGATTTTAAATTATATTAGGTTTAATTTTTCTTAATTAATTAAGCAATTAAGAAAAATTAAAGGAATCAATTAGAATATTGCAAATTTACTAACTGAAACTAAAAATTACTAACTGTTAATAAATGGTTAGTAAATTCTTCTCCAATTTCCCATATATCCTCTGAACCACATTCGATCGCTTTTGCCTCTATCGTAAAGTCTTCTGGTGCACTTTCTACTGCATCGGTTATAAGTCTTGCTGCATCACTAGCTAAAGCTGCTTCTACCTGTAAATAGATTTTACAGTGTATATTTGATATTATGTCACAAGTGTTTAGCTTTTTAATTACTATGTGAAGTTCCACAACTTTCCATATTAGCTATCAGTCTCCGATTGCTATTTTGTTCACGCACATTTTGCGACACGTGTTTCATTTTTAAACAAGACATTTTCAGGCAAATTGTTAGATTGCACGGATTTTTTGCAATTGCAATTAAAGTACACAGAGCCTAGAGTAAACTGTTCGGCATTTTGATTTGTTATTTGGGTGGGTGTAACGGAATTAAACAAAAGAAATCTAATCCATGCCAGTAAATTTATGATAATTAACCATAAAATATTCGTTTTACAGTTTTCAAGTTTTATTTTTTATTTTAGAGATCTTATGATACCGTGGTACTTCCTTTTAGGTGATATTAGTAAGACAAGGATGTACGTACAGTAATTTCGTATGTTTGTCTAGGTATTTTTACATTATTATTTGATCTTGATTTCCAGTCCGCTAAATAAGATCGTGTTCTTGAATCTGAGTGGTCGAAAATTCTAAAACAAGTTACGTTTGATAATCCATATCGCAGTTCTTCCAAGTCCAAAGTGTGTGCATTTAGAGACATAAGAACATAACTCTGAAAAGAATGCAATTGAGTTTGTATTAAAGTAATATTCAGTAGTAGAGAACATAAAATAAAATCAAAGACATTTACCATATAGTCTGCAAAGAAATTAACTTCATGCGCTTGTCGTAGATATTCTAGTACTCTGTTGGCAGAACAATCTAATATAATCCTTGTTTCACCGGTAGCTTTTAATGATTTTAGTAAAGGACGGTTGTCTTCGCCCGGTTTTAATCTTTTTATAACCCACTTGTGTTCGGGATTAGCATGTTTTATAATCTCTTGAAGTCTTACAAGACCTTCATAAAGAAATAAAATAACATGCATGTACATCATAGGTTACATATTAATTTTAGTTTTGCCTTTGAGTCACATCACTTTCGATATTTGCAGGATTTCACTAAAATCACCACTTTAATTCAAATTAAAAGATACAAAAGGTGCCCATTGGAATCTATTTGTATAAATATTTATTATTTATATTTTTACAGCTTGTATGGTCTGATAAATGGAATCCATGGCGTTCATTAATAATAACATAAAATATTTGGATAAATTTAATACAATATTTTTTTATTTATTATAATAAGAGTATTACCATAGTCATCATCATATAGAAGTGTGTAAGTATTCCAATCACTGTCTTTTATGAAGAGTGCAGCAGCTTTTGAAAGGGCGACAGCTTCGGGATGTAAGTTGATACCAGGGGGGCTCGGCAATTCTTGTCCTCGGACTCGAGGTGGTCGCCAAGTTGCCTGAAGTCGAGAAATGATTTGATTGAATTTTGAATGATAATTAATTAAAACAATTAATTTTTTTTTCGAAATAAAAGTGTTTTTAAATAAGTACGTATTTGAAATTAACTAAATATAAAAATACAGTCAACATAATAAGGTCTCGTCGAATAATATTTGTACAATTTTCGTAACACTAGAAAGGAACAGATCGAGTCGCTTACTTGGATATGTGGAATTCTCGCAGCGCGGCAGTGAGCTTCCACAATGGTGGCTGAAGTAACGTCTATTGGACCAAATATCGCAATCACACCGTCCGCGATCAGTTCACAAGCTACGGAAAAAAGTATAGAATTTGACAATATGAGGTAATTGGTGGTGTTAGCTCATTAGTTTATAGGATAGTTTCAATTTGAAGTTTCGAAGAAGTTTATAGAAATTATTATTTTTGGAAAAATGATAGGATTTCTCAATATAGCAATTAAAAACTCCTTCCGTTAGACCGCATTCAAAGTCGGGCAGCTCGAATTGTTGATGATCAGCGTCTTACTGTCCGGCTCGACCCACTGAAACTGCGTAGAGATGTTGCATCTCTGTGCATTTTCTACCGAATTTATCATGGGGAGTGCTCTGAAGAATTGTTCGGATTGATACCTGCTGCAGATTTTCACCATCGTACAACCCGCCATAAACTAAAATTTCATCCCAACCATCTGGACAAGTGGCGGTCCTCCACCGTGCGTTTTTCAAGGCACTTTCTCCCACGCACAACCACTCTTTGGAATCAACTTCCAGCAGCAGTATTTCCGAACCGATACGACAACATAAACTTCAAGAAAAGAGCATATTCCTTTTTAAAAGGCCGGCAGCACATCTGCAATGCTGTAGGTGTTGTGGGTGACCATGGGCGGCGGTAGTCACTTACCATCAGGTGAGCCGCATGCTCATTTGCCCCCTGTGTTGTAAAAAAAAATATCGAGTAGAGTCAAAAATTTCTCCATTTAACTGGATTTGTAAATGATTTTTAAAAATGAACAATAACATATTAAAGGTATTTAGAGAATGTATCTAAAAATGTTATATATTATCAAAACCCTGTGTACACAAAGTAGAAAAACGTTTTTAATTCATGTTTTTGTTTGCCTATATTAAAGTTTTGTTAATATAAAAAAAAAACATGAGCATAAATTTTGTTACATAATAAAGTAACAAAAAATATTTGAAGTGTATACATGGAGTACGTCTTAGTATTTATTAGCATTTAATATCATTATATATTGTTTATGTTATAATAGATGACTTTATAAACGTAGTTTTGCCTCCTATATACCATTTTATCATAGTAGGCTTTAACTGTCCGCTCTTGAATATAAACCTCTCCATAGAGGGTTTTGCCAGTAGTTGCCACGCTTAGCAGGCAGATTGGCAACCACAGTTTGGCTTTGAAGATGTTTTTAGAGTGACGCTGCTACTCATCCTTAGCTCTTCCTTAGTCACCTCTTACGACATCCACGGGAAAGCAAGGGGTAACCTATTCTATGCTGGGATCGCACGGAAAATATATCACTTAATTAGATTTAAAACTATCTTATCTTTCAAGTTGGAACAAACAATAAACTTTAATAAAATTCCATTAAAATCGGTTAAGCAATTTTGGAGATAAAAGTAAACGAACATCGTGACACGGGAGTTTTATGTTATTAAGACGAGCAACTCGCCCCGGGTGCAATTTATTACGAAACATTGAATTAATGTACTTATACAAATGTTTAATTAAGATGTATTGTACCTACACATAAAAAAAATATAAAATTATATCTAAATGATAGTAAAATCCATAGCAAAAGCTTGTGTATAATATAAAAATAATAAGCGAAGCACCAGAGAGGCGGACAGCGAATTTGTTTTATATTTAGAGTTAAAAAGATAACAAGCAAAAATGTGGAGTCCTTGCACACTTACCAGCTTTAGATGCAGCAAAACTGTCGCCATATGGAGCATACAATACTTTTAAAACAAAATGGTAATGTTCGCTTTCCATTGAAGCTCTGGTAAGAGTAGAAGAGAATGCTACTTCAGTTAATGTATTGGGTGGTAAGATGGCACCTAAAATAAATAAGTTTTAATATTTCTGATCTATAGATTTTGATAAGAATTTGTAGCATTTATATAATTCTACTATCTTTATATTATAATAGTATATACTTCAAATGTAAAATTTGGATGTTTATTATTCAATTACGGCTATACGGATTTAAATTAAACTTAATAGACAAATACACTGCATCGGAGAAACTACTTTTTATATTAATTCACATGGATAAAGCCACGGAATACAGGTAATTATATATGAGGAGAACGAAATGTGTCTTGAGAAAATTATTCCTAAATTAAATTTTGTAACATTTTGCACTGATTGAACATGTCCTAAAAATACAAGCATAATTAAAAAAAAATCTAGACAGATAACAGATTACTGATTGTATAAAATGGTAAATTATATATATTTTATTTTTATAGCCTTTTATAATTCTATTGTACCTTGTTCTTGAATGTAATAATTTTAAAATCTTACCAATATTCACTACTGTCTTCAGAGTTTCGTGATTCCGGAATACTCCCTCGGTGTTCGAGAGAACAAACACCATTAATACAGTTGTCACGTATTTTATTCCTGCAAAATAAGAAACGGAGTTCGTAAACACTGGCCCAAAATTAACATTTTAATAGTATCTGGACAGTATAAATTAATTCAACTGTTAGTCTAACATTTCATTAAATAGTAGGTACTCGCCTCGAGTTTGTAGCATTTTTTTTTTAAATTATTTAATGTCAATAATAATAGTATTAATTAGTAGAAACAAGTTGGTCGTTTAGTAATAATATTATTAACTTGTAGCATTACTGTTTTCTAAACACGTGGTAAACAACAATTTGGATATAGGAATCGCACGGAATATGTGTTGAAAATGTACAAAACACACTTGGTGCCGGCGCGTGTAAAGCACTCGAGCAACTACTATCGTGAGTTACTCGAGCGACACTTGTATCTAACGTCTGATGCATACGTTATCGTAACTATTGGGCCAACTATATCGTGTCTATAAATACGATAATAGGGCGCGAATGTAATATGTTCTTGTTCTTATTAAAAAGTAAAAATGAATTAAAATTTAATAACATTATAATCAAATATTTTTGTATTTTTAATTTTTCATGGAATTCACCCTTACAGAATTTAAATGGTCACGTACAGCGTGATTTCAGTGGAGTTTCCTCCCGAGAACGCTTTTGCTGTGGAATGAGTTTATGGACCATATATTCGCTTAGGATGACGTAGAGCTATCGTACTATTTAAATAAGCTCCTTGCCGAGATTTTACCTAGAGACTATAGTATGACGTTTTTCAAAACGAGCATATTAAGGTTTATTCAAGGTCGGTAGTACATACGTGACATGGTATTACAGGTGTTCATCATTTACCGTCACATGGGCTATATGCTTATTTGCCATCTCCGTGGTATAAAAAATGCATCATTCATACTTTTTGCAGCTAAGTGAGTGATTATAGAAAAAGTATAATATTTGTAATAATATATTGATATCAATATATTCGATTCTAAAAAATAGAGCAATACTATAAATGCTTTTATTTTTTTTTTATTTTTAAATCCAAGGGTACGTATTTTAAAATATTTTCAAGTAAATGTGCTTTATTAATAATTGTTTATACAAGTAATGGAGAATAAAGGTTTTCGAATAAAAATAATCGTAGTTTAGGATGAGCTCCACTCGATGGAGTGAAAACCTTATACGCTTCGCAAGAAATTTGTCCATATAATTAGCTCAAAATATTTTTTTATGGTTTTCAAAGGCCTTTTCCCTAGTATTGGAAAATTAATGCTAGAAAGGATGATATACTTTAATGAAAACAGAAAACAAATACTATTACTATATATTACGAGGTTATTAAGAGGTATGACTTATACATTTTTTTAAAGATTTGAATGATATATGTATATATAAATCCGAAAATCTTTATCTCTCCTTCTTCCGCAGTCGGGTAAAACAATAATACAGGGCAGGTGAGACGAATGTGCCACGGTCAGTCCTGTTTGGCCGAGATCCAGTGTCTACTGACCCACTGTTACTATTATCAGCCATCAGCTGATGCTGCTCATTACTCGTATGCATTTTATAACTGTAACACGTTTTAGTTACCAATATATACGAGTATATATATATATATATATATATATACTATATATATATATATATATATATATATATATATATATATATATATATATCGTATATATTGTTCCGCAAAGAAAGCAAATTGAATGTATTTATGAATTGAAATGAAATGAAAATTTATGAATGCACCGATGAACAACGAGATGTTCCGAAGATACACTACCATGACTTGTTTCATAGATACTGTATAATTTTAATATTGCGTGTTTACATATAGAATTTACTTTACAATAAACAGTTTTTGGCTTCGTAAAGAAGAACCTTCATATTTTATCTTCAATATTTATGAAATTAAAATGAGACCGGCATGGGAGTAAATCCTACCGATTACCAAATTGGCAATGTAATCGCACAACAAAAGAATAAAAAAGTATCCAGATAACTTGAGAAATTTTTTCTTTTGGATAATTTTTAAAAATATCTGAACAGATCTGAGTAAGCATAAAACTAAAGTAACAAAATTGTAAAATAAAAAATAAAAACACTACTGGGTACAGATCTCTCGACGAGATTAGTTTAACAATACCAAACAAACAGGCGGTTTGGCACAGTGTTATGTTTCGAGTTTTCCTTCTGTTATTCTAATGAACTTGGCTAAGTTCCTTAGCCCTTTGCTACATCCTGGGGCTTAAAATGAGTGCTGACATATTTTAATTAATATCAGATATCATATATGAAACAAAATATATATTATAGATACTTGAATCGAAGCCTAAGTATTTTTACATAGGGAGTAGTTTTACATGGAGTGCCAACTAAATCTGTCATTTATTTAAGGGTCGTAAGGATGATGAAGCTCTAGGTAATAGTTTTAGAACCACAGGCTTATTCGTAATTATTTTGAAAGTGAGCGATTTAAATTAATGAGAGAAATCCAAAGAAGTTTCTCTATGCCATAATGACGGTAGTTGAAAATTCCAGGGATTTATATTACGTTAGTTTAACTAAAGTAGGGATCTCTCATTAAAATAAATTTAACGAGATCCACCTGCGAGCTCAGTTTGCAAAGCTAAATATTCAATTATATTTTTTATGAGCGGTTGACATCTAAAGACAAGATGTATATTATATATATAGGGATTTTCATAAAGAGGTTAAATGATTTACGTAACGGGCACGAAACGTCTCTGCTGTTACAGGCGCCTATAGGTTACCGTAACAGTTTACTATCAGATCAGATAGGCCATATGCTTAACTCGTATTTACCACTATAGTATTAAGGACGAATCACTTGGAAAGTAGCAACCGTCATTTATAGACATGGCAATGGATACAGAGTCTTCTGTGAAGGCATTAGATTTATAATTAGCAAAGACAAGGTGTAACATATATGTATACAAAAAATATTCGTGAATTGAAAATTTCCTTCTCAAATTATATCATACTTCGACTACAAATTAATAGTATTAAAAATATATATCAGAACAGTAACTGACATAGTTGTGAATAAAGTTTAATAGTCGCACAGAAACTAACTAAACTGCAGAACTTTCGAACTGGTAATAAATACCAACTTAATACTAACTTTCTGAATAAGACCAAAACATGTTCTTTATTATAAAACTTGCAAGCGAATATCGTTGCATTTTTATAACATTATATAACTGTTAAATTTTAAATATAGTTATTAATGTCAGTGACATCATTACAATAGTTTTCCTCTAAAACAATAACCTTATGACTGTAATTGCATATACGAGTATAATAGGTTAGGCAAAGATTTTGTCGAATAGATCGAACTAGACACAATATTACATAATTTGATTAGTTAAAGATGTTAAGTAAGGCTCTTCATTTGTCAATAGGTATTACATGAAAAACTGTAGGAATAATGTATCGCTATACCGAATGAAATCGAATTAATTGGCGTTCTTTTCAAGTTTTTCTTTTTAAGCTTATTTCTTTTTTTTTTTACCCGTCAAACTGATTTTTTTCCCAAAGGATCGAAAAATAACAAAACATTTAGAGTTATCATATTAACTTGACAGCTGGCTGCATCTTATTAATGAGGGAGGATTAAAATTTTCTTCGTTTGTAATTTTATTTCACTTTGGGAGCAAAATTCAGTCTACTGTACAATCCTCCCTTAAAAGGATATAATAATTTTGATTTAAAATTGCATATTTTCTTAAGCAATAAAGTAAATAGGACATCAAATTGAAAAGTATGTTTGATTTAAACGGGTATTATAAAATGGTAAGACTTGATGCTTTGTTCGTAATTTATAAATTGAAAGAACACCTGTACAAAGCTACGTTATCAGCGAATAACACGGACTACATATTATTAAAAAAAATCGTGTAATACTTGGAGGGGTCGTTTGTTTATAACAAACATTGACTGCTATATACATAAGGCGTCTACTTTTAAATATTCATTTAAGTTTTCCTACTGCTTGACATTCACACTACGGTTGGACACCGCGCGGGTCGTCGGGACTTCACGCTTGTTAACTTTGAGGAAAATTAAATGTATCATTATTAAAATTCATAAGAAATTAATTTTTTTTAGGGACCTCATTATAAAATGTAACGGTTAGCATGATTATTATTGCTATTGTTGTAATTAATTCATATTGGATACTATTTGTTGTAGCATAGCATTGACAGTAGGAATTAAAAATTAATTTACGATTCTAAAGTAACTATAGGCTATTTATGTATAAAGTTTATTCAAATCTGTTAAAAAGCTAATTTAAAGTTTACTGAGTAATAAACATTTAAATACCTTTGTTTTGTTACAAGATTTTACAGAATAAAAAGATAAAGACTGTTAGTGTAAATAATTTTAGTATTAGATAATACTAACCTTTACCCTTGACTTCGTTTGCGTGACCGGGACATGTATATTCACCAGAATAAAAAGTAGCCTATATCCTTTACCATCCTATATAGTAGGTACGTGTATCTAAATTTCATAGTGATTGATTAAGGCTAATGAGGATTGTACTCGTAAATATGAAAGTTTGGATGATTGCATATTTATTTAAAAAAATTAAAATTTAGTATACTGATACACCAAATACTATTCACTTGGGTACAGTCACGGGACATAGCAATGATAAAAAAAAAAGAATCTGTATACAATTATTACATATACAGTCTTTTGCCCGCTACTTTGGACACATGGATTTTAGAAGTAGGAGAGTCAATGAAGTAGATCACTTCTGGATGGTGTATCAAGGAAAAATATACCAGTTTTTGAGTTGAGAATTCAGGAATACAACTGTGAAAACGGTATCCAATTTCGTGTAGTTATTTTTGCGTTATGTTGAAACAAACATACAGAGAGAAAGACAGAGAGATAAAATTTCTAAAAAAGAAATGTTTTTTAGTATCTACTGGTCTTTTTAAGATCCATCATATCAATTTTTTTTTCAAATAACTCCCATGTATCCCATCATCAAGTTACAATTTTATTATATTAGTAAGATAGTAAGATAAAATTAGTAATATTGCAGTTGAAAATGTCCACATATATGTATGTTTACATAAAACCGTACTTAAGAATAGGGCAGCGAATCGTTTCGAAAAGTTACAGTTTCCCCTTAAGACTTATAAACTTGGTCGTATTCGAGTTAAGCGTTAATGGTCGTATCGTAGTATTTTTAGGGTTCAATTTTACATGAATACTATTGTGAAATAATTGAAGTGGAAACAACATTTTCTGTAAATTATTATATAACGTCACCATTTCAAAGTAAATGATACAGAAAATCAGAGTTTTAGCCTTGTCACGACCACTAATTAGCATAGTATGTACAATATATAAATGTCTAGTCATTGCATACCT